AAATATGATGTTGCTTCCAGATTTTTTTTACTTCTTGTCAAACTCAAAGCAATGTCTTATCGTAATTGCTCATAAACATATAGCATGTTCCTCATAAAAAACTTGCTGAACAAAAAGACATGTAAGTCACTGTACAACTTCATTAATTTTGACTTAATCAACTTATTCATGAACAAAAGTAAAAAAGAACTCCCTTTTAACAAAATAATTAAACTGTCACACTCGAATTCATGATTCAGCAGCTTTTAGTTAATTAAATTCCTTATACAGCTGATAAACAAAAGGCCATCACACAGTCTGTGAAATCTGATTTGCTAATTGAATGCAAGCAATTAAATTAGCCAACAGTTTCTAAGTAATATTTTTGAACAAAATATTTGAGACAATAAACATTTTTTTTAATTTTTATGACGCGATTACGAGCAATAATGATTTAGACGTTTGGCTTGACAAAGGTAGTCAGACTTTTCTCTCCCTTACCAGTTCCTCCCATGACTTTTCCTCCCTGACGGTTCTCTCCCTGTTTTTTGGGGAGAACCGTCTGCATATTTGCAAATAAGCAGACAGTTCCTCCCCTTTTCTATTTTTATTAATACATTATTATTGAAGTATTTACATGTGAAATAAACATGATAAATGGGTAAGTTTATTATTAATTGATATAAATTAGAAAAAATATATTTTATTGAAGTGTTTATAAATGGGTAGGTTTATTATCAATTCATATTAATTAGACTAATTAGAGGAAAACAAATATTTTATTGAAGTACTTAGATGTTAGGTAAATGGGTAAGTTTATTATTAATTTATATAAGTTAGAAAAAACATTATTGAGGTATTAAGATGTTTAATACATGGATAAATTATTATTTACAATTGATATAAATAAGAGGAAAACATATTTTATTGAAGTATTTAGATGTTTAATAAATGGTTAAGTTTATTATTAATCGATATAAATTAGATTTTGTTTTAGCATATTAATTAATTATTCTGATTTTTTTTTATTAGATCTAATGTATACTTTTTGTAATAGTGCCGGTTTATTATCAGTGGTTCAAGCTGGTTCGAGCCCAACACTCAGTGGCGCTCTGGACAGACTTAAAATATAAATGGCCAAATTACTAAACGGACGACACGTGATCACAAATATATCTTTAAACGGCACTTTACCCAGGTTCTCTGAACTCTTAATTGCCAACCAGTGGCTAGGATGGTGGTGTAGGACGCTACCTTTAATTTACTCTTATTAAGAAAGTATAACACAAGACTTTATAAATTTAACATTACGAGATTTATTCAAACGATAATCATAGACTTATTTAAACGACAATCGTATAATTTATTTACCAAAAGTATGAATAAGACTATATATTTAAGCAGAATCTACCAACAACGAGTTATTTATTTAAAAAGAATTTCTAAGTATTTATTAATAAGATTAGCCTAAATTCTCAAATCATATAGATTTCAAAGAGAGTCAAAACTATTAAGTTTTGAAAGAGTGCCAAAGCTCTAAAGCTTTGAAGTGAACTGACCTGTCGGCCAGTTCCCAAGACAAGAAATATTGAAATTCACCCGGTATTTATACACTTTTGGTAGTCATGACAATGCTTAACTATAAGATTGATTGGTCAAAATTACTCATAACAAGTTCTGAACTAATCGAATTATATTAATCAAGTGGACCAATAAAAATGTAAATCTAAATCGAAAGAGCCAATCAAGAGGACTTTAACAGATTAACGTTAGGGAAAGAAGCCAAAATGGACGACAAATGAATGGTAAAAATTTGACAACTAAATATTTTATCAAAATACGGTCCTATTACACTTTTTAAGGTAATGTAACGATTCGCCACACTAACGATTCGCCACAGAGTAATAACGATTTGCCACAGTTAAATAACGATTCGCCACGTGTTCAAATACAAACTTTTTCACACCTGTTTTCAAACTGTTGATGGAAAACTTTTTTTCCATTTTATATTTCATTTGTTAATTACATAAATTAATTACACTAAATACAGCTTTTATTGAATGAAATCACAAAAAAAACCAATTCCAATATTTTATTAACAAAATTAAATAACACATTTTATAACTTCGCTATTTATATAAACTGGAATAATATACTAACAACTTTTATAGAATAAAAACACATGAAAATATATATATATTATTACCAAAATTACATCACACACTGTAGATGCGTTAAACTTCGTTATTCATATAAATTGGAAAATTATACAAAATGAACATAAATATATTTTATTACCAAAATTACATTACACTTTGTTATTAACGTGAATTATTGTAGATACGTCTTAAACAGAATGAACAAGGAGGAGCTGGCATGATTCTGATATCTTTTTTTTTTTTTTTTGTATACTATTTTATGTATGTGCTTAAGCTGTGCATGCTGGTGTATTTAAACCCTCTAAATCGGCATATATCGCTCACATAAATCAGCTCACATTGTCAGATAATTAAAGGATAATTTTGGCGTCAATTAAATATTTCTACAACAGTCCTAAGGTGATTGGCTTGTTTAAATTAAAGGTGTGACAAATGTTTAAGATCAATTATCGTAAATCAATTTTCGTAATGTCTAATCTAATGATCACATGTTTTTGCAATACTTTTTTTTTAATATTTGACATATATAAAATATTGTAACAGTATTTGATTTACATACTAAATACAGACCTTGCCATGATGCTTTAATTATAATGTTAACTGCGCATGCTTAAAAAATATACGCAGTCTTCTCTATGTATTAGCTCTGTATAATATACAAAGGAGTTGTGACTAGCTTAATAAAATATATACAAGCACGTTTGTGTTCTTACCTGCACCAAGAAATAAATATAAATTGACATATATGTTTATAATTAATTCAGTATTTATTTCAACATATAATTACTTTCTTGTAAATGTACTCCTGTAATAATGTTACTTTGATAAATTGAAAATCCGCGACGGGGGTCTGAACTTCATATTACTTGTATTAAGAAACATTATTAAATTATTGTCATTGTCAAATTATTAAAACAAAAGGAAAATTTTTGTTGATTACTAAAAAAATCATTGTTATAATCATACTGTGGTGAATCAATATTTAACTGTGGCCAATCGTTATTACTCTGTGGCGAATTGTTATGTGGCGAATCGTTAGTGTGGTGAAGCGTTACTAATTCCTTTTTAATACTTGTTACCACCTTAATTAGAGCCTATTTAACATATGAATGAATATCACCAGACCTTAACATAATTACAGGTCGTGTATATCAATCACTGTCCAATTATCTTAATCTCTCACCATGAAGGTGTTGATAGGATTAAAATAAATGAAAAAGTTGTTATATTCACAACCACTTTTCAGATAAAAATAAAACATAAAATTCACTTAATATCAAACACATTCTTTTAATAATCTTCATAAAGAAATATCATTAGATTAAGTAAAAACTAAAATGATAACTTATAAAAAAAAATTGGGGGAGAACTGTCTGCATATTTCAAATTTGGGAGAGAACCGTCAGGGGAGGAAACGGTTTTGGAGAGAACCGTCAGGGGGAGGAACAGTGTCTATTCTAGGAATTCAAAAATGGGGGTGATTTTCCCCCCTCTATTTCAAAAAAGGGGGCGATTTTCAAAATCAAGGGGTGCCAATATAATCTGCCAATGTTAAATCGTCTGCATTAATTTTACACTGAGGCCTTCAACCGATGAAATAATCAAAACAAAAATATCTATTTAAGGCAGCAGAAGTTATCCCCACTTAATTTTTAAACGAAAACAAATTATTATAGAACTGTCGCGATTGATTATCAAGGGATTGACAATGCAAACAATCGACCTATCTTTCACGTCTAGATCGTAGCCAAGCTAGGAATTGCCTAATTTTTTTTATTATTTACTTCACTAAAATGGCGCCCAACTCTCAGACCTAGCACACTAGTTCCGGTCGGTACGGAACATTCCATTAATTTCCGTCAACTCACGTAACCAGTACCATACAGTACTAAATTATTACAATTAGCTTACAGTTACCTCCCTTCGGTTCCGGTGTAAATGTAAACAAAACAACCAAATATAATGCGAGACCGAGGGAACACTTTGTTTCCAGAATTTTTTACGATTTTATTAACTTTTTTATAGATGCGCGATTTTCACGTACATGATTTTGAATTGTGCGCGATCTGTGAAATACTAGCGTGAATCGCGCAATCGCGCGTCCTAGAATAGACACTGGACAAACTGGTAAGGGAGAGAATAGTCTGTCATTCCTTGACAAACATCGTCTGTCTCAGAGCCTGGCATGTGTCTGTGATGTTTGAAGAAATCCATTTTAATGTCAAAAAACGAAAAGGATCATTTTATAAAGCACGAACAACAATTAGATAATTGAACTCACAAGAAATCATAACACATCATAATTCTACACATTTCAAGTTAACTTTGTAAACAAATACTAGGTCATACCATTATATAAAGCTGAATTTATGACTGACCCGGCGGCGACTAGACCTACACCAATGGTTCCAATCGAGTTAAGAAGACGAGACATGACCTAAGTGAACAATATATCAAATGTATCTCTTTGACGAATGTGTTTGAAATTAAAATTTCAATAAAATTCGATTTAGATCATGCAATTCAAGATGTTAAATAATTCAATGTCAATCTGACGAAACTGCAGCATGTATTTTACCGGAAGTGAAAAGCCGGCGCGTGCGCAAAGTTGAAATCAACTAAAATGCGAAAAATAATCTCCAGCGCGAAAAGGACTAAAACAATATTATATATAATTATATTGTAATATAAATCCGTGATAATATCAATGTAATAATTTCGTTCAGTCTCGGAAAATATCATAGCACTTTTTAGGGAGTGGTGCTTGAAAACTGTTTATTTTTCCATCATTGTGTTTTCGTTAAATTACAAAAGAAAGGTGAAATTGTCAGGGAAATCAGGGGAAATAACTAGCTTCTTTTTGAAAAAATATAGTAGTGAACAACCGTATATACATGTTGAAAAAGGGAGATCACTCTTACGTGACTATTATATAAATTTACAAATGTCAAAGATGTCAGGGTGCTTTATTTTTCGTCAGATCACATCAAGTTGTCTCCGATGTTATACCACACGTCTTCTTGTACACCAAACTTTTTATTTATACCTATATGTTTATAAATGTTATTTAACGGTCCGTTATTTAATCTGGGTGGGAGTGGTTTCGTCGAACTACCGGTTCGTCTAACTGATCTTCTATAGTAAAAAAGGTCGGCGGCACGAAATACCCAAATATACCCAAATACACCCAAATATACCCAAATATAGCAATATTTATTTTTGTTTGTATAAAATATAGATTATAATGAGATTATAATGAGAAATAAATAAATATTTATAAAATAATATGACTTAACCTGCTATAACTTTCATTCATTCCGTTGAAATGGGCAGTTAAGATGTTGTAAGAAAATAAAGTTGGGACATTTGCTTATCTACTCGTACTGTATATAGGTTCTTTATGAATGTACTTGCAATTTTAAATCAAGATATGATATTTGTTGTATACACTTACATTTTTAAGGTGTAATTTTGTTGAAATTTCATATCATAATTATACAAGTGTCCATGCTATTTAAAAAAAATAGCTTTAATGGAGTACATATATACTGTATACAATGATAGGAAAATGTATATTTGGGTATGTTTGATTATATCTTAGTGAAAGTGTATATTGTATTCATGATTAAAACAACACTTTTTTAGTATAAAACATTTATTTTTAGTATAATTGGACAATATTTGGGCAATATTTGGGTATTTCGTGCTGCCCAAAAAGGTAGTGGTTTCGGCTAACTTAATTTATATAGTGAACAATAGCTATTGTATAATGGGCACATCAATTATCGCGGGTCTTAATGTGTGGTTTATCACACATTTTCATGCAATTAAAGACACAATATTGAAAATTTAAACATATTATTTGTTCTTTTCTTTAGTATAATAATGATATTTACATAAAATAATAACACAAGATCTCAGTGAACAAACAACATCATAGAAATATATATACGTTTAAAAGTACAACCCGAGTATACACCATGGCTTTTACGTAGTATTCAACAATATTTTTTTATTCTTTATTCATCACTTTTTATATATAACACTTAAAAATCGTCCTCATAAATCCCGTCGTTGATGTTGTTGCATCCTATTCCGGTAATGTGGCTGCATAGTCTCAGTAGTTGGGAAGTAGTCATCTCATCATCTTCGTACTTGTCCCAGGCGTCGAATAAGGCTCCATGGATTCGGGCGTATCGTGTTAACTGATCGGCTGATAAGACAAACAAACTTTCTCTGTCATCTATTATAAACAATTGATTTATTTCGTAAACCAAGACCTAACTAAACAATTAATTTTGCAAACAAAATAATATTGTTTTTTTTTTGTAATTTATTCTTGACTCAAAAATAATTTATCAAATAACGAAAAAAACTTTTCAAAATAAGTATAATAATTTTTATATAAACATACTTCTACAATATATTATATTCATTAATGATATTTGCGTCATAATTTAATTATAACAAAATATTGATGATAAAAACACTTTACAGTATATATGAACCACGTCTACTTTGCCTTTAATTACTATATAACATCAGTTAGACGAAACCACTTTCGCACCTCTTCATAAATTAAGTTAGCCGAACCGGTAGTTCGACGAAACCACCATAATTCATTTAATCTTACTGTAAAATGTAGGATTTTATAAATATTTCACAAATTATGTTATTTATCATGTTATAAACAAATGTAGGATACCTGTAGGATGATTCTGGGCTCTGATAGAAGGACCAAGCCCTTTTTAAGCCCCTCTTCTTTTAACAATCTTTCACTACTTCTTCTTATTGCTCTCACCACTTCTATGTTTAATTATATATACTTTTATCTATTTCTGTTCACTCTGCTGTATCATTTTAACAGCATAATTTTTCAATAAACATTTTAAACTTTATATGGAGTGTCTCCGGTCCAGTGTTGGTCTAGTTTTATTTTAAATTCATGAATTTTGGCAAATTATTCCATGTTTTAATTACACGTCTTGAAAACTGATGTAGGCAATGAGTTGTTCTACTACGAGGCATTTCTAGTTTTAAATTATGTCCCCTTGTTGATGCCGAATAACTAAAAAAAATTTCAAAAACACAGTCATCTAAGCCTTTTACTATTTTGAAAGTCTGAATCATGTCCCCTCTTAATCTGCGATGTATTAGACTTCGCAGTTTAAGCTTTTTAAGACAGTCAATATATGTCAGATCTTTTAATGATGAACAATTTACAAAAAAATTATATTTGATGTTTAGTTTGGTGTATTTTCAACAAACGGGCTATATATTCTGACCAAGCAATCTATGTTTTCAAGCTGTTAGAATTTTCATTTTGCACTTGTATTTAATTTTACGCGCTTTTCTTGAACACTTGCTGTATAGCTAGATCTACATAGTCAAAATATATTGACGTGCCAAAGCTTGATTCTGAGATATTTTCGTTCTTGGGCAGAATCTCGCTTTTAGAGGCGAGATATTGCCCAGACATGAAAATAGCACAATATCTCGTCACGCAGTACAATTAGTATTAAATAGTACTATAGTCCAACTAATTGTACTGCGCGACGAGATAGTCCAACTGATTGTACTGCGCGACGAGATATTGTGCTATTTTCGTGTCTGGGCAATATCTCGCCTCTTAAAGCGAGATTATGCCCCAGAGCGAAAATATCTCAGAATCAAGCTTTGGCACGTCAATATATTTTGACTAGTTGGACTATTGCTGTACATATATAGTTTGAATACTGTAGGGGAAAATGCCAGTGATTTAATTTTCAGTTTTATTTTTTCAGAAAGTTAATCAGGCCAAGTTTAATTCATCTAGATTATTGTCAGACAGAATATTAGACCCACCAGATCATACACCTCCTATTCCAGAATATGTTGATAGAGGGAGTAATGAATCCATTGACGATAAAAAGGCTCGATTATTATATCAGAGCAGAAAAAGAGGGATGACGGAAAATGGCCTCTTACTCAGGTAACAAAATAGATCTGCTGATAAATCTACGATAAATAATCATATTAAGAGAGGTCATTTACTTCCTGAAAGAAAACACAGATTATTAGATTGATGGATGTATCCAAGTAGCTGTAGAAGCAATTCTTTCAAAAAGAATTTCAACCAAACTTTGAACTATTTAAAACAGTGCCCTTAATGTATACCATCAGGGTATTAGGATTTAATCAATGTTAGTGCAGTGCTTTTGTTGTACAGATTTTTATCTGTATATAATTGAGAAGTCATCCTTAATTTTCACAACCATATTTTTACAGAATGATTATCATTAAACTGTCTTGCCACATATGTTTAGGGTTTTGTAATTTAATCTGGCTTTTGGAAATAATGACTGTTTTTGTTGTTGTCTTTTTTTTTTTCATTTACTATTGTTTAAGTACATGTAATAAATGTTGAAGTATCAGGTCAGCCTGTAAGTATTGGAGGAAAACTTGTGCTTGTGACAATTGCTATCCCTTATTTATTTTGCTTACATCAGCATGCTGCTTTTATAATTGACTATCACATACATGTGCTTATATTGCTACAGGTTTTCTTTTCCTTTCAGTACATTTGCCTCACTACATTTGGACAAGTTATCAGAAGAGCAGCTAAAAATGTATGACAGCTTGATCAATAAACCAACAAATGATTGGGAAATATATTACTGGATGATAGGTATGTTATAACAGTATCTATATCAGGATGTATAATGTCACGGTCTGTTCTTTAGGTCTTGTGTTTTTTTTAGCAATCTTCCCAACCATTAGTAAGTGAATGGTAAATCATTTTGACAAGTTTGGAACTGAACATTTTAGAATCAGAGCCAAGGGCATTCATGTTCATCAAAAACATGGGTTCTTGGTTTATTGTAGAAAATATTTCAATTCGCAATCCTTATGGAACCTCATAATTTTTAATTCATTACAACAGACCTAAGGTTGTTGTCTTCATTTTCTTACAGGATAACAGATAAATCACACCCTTTGAATTTAATACACAACTTGTTAATATTACTCAATTTAGATGCCAAATTTTTAATTGACTTATATAAGCAAATAGTATAGAATCTGGTCAGTTTGCACCGGTAGACACATTGACCTGCCTTTATTAATCTTCGTCCTTCCATCCGACATTTTTGTCTAGAGCATATCTCAAAAAAGTATTTGAGGTATCAACTTGATATCTCAAAAAAGTATTTGAGGTATCAACTTGAAACTTCATAGGTAAATAGATCATATTGAGGAGGAATGTAGTGCACAAGAATGATAACTCTACCCTGCATAATTTTTCAGTTATTGCCCTTGGATATTTTTCAAACATAAATTTTGTCCAGAGCATAACTCAAAAAGCCTTTGAGATATCAACATGAAACTTCATACGTAGATATATCTCACTCAGGAAGTGTGCAGTGCACAAGAGTGATAACTCAACTTATCATAATTTTTTAGTTATTGCCCTTTGTTATTTTTCATACTTAATTTTTCACCTGAGTGGAGCATAACTCAAAATTCTTTGTGATGTCAACATGAAACTTCATAGGTGGATTTATGTTATTGAGGAGGAATGCTGTGCGCAAGAATGATAACACTACCCTTTTTAATTTTTTAGTTATTGCCTTTTGTTATTTTTTATACTTTTTGTCCGGAGCTTATCTCCAAAAATGTTAGAGGTATCAACTTGAAACTTCATAGGTGGATAGATCTCATTGAGGAGGAGTGCAGCACACAAGAATGATAACCTACCCTGCATTATTTTTCAGTTATTGCCCTTTGTTATTTTCAGCCATCAGTATTCACATAGGTTTCTAATCTGTAATCACATAGCCATCAGTTTTCATTACCAAAAGACCTCTTAAAATTGAATTATTCGGCTCAACTACATATACATTCTTCCAATGAGCAAACACATACGGTGGGTAACATGGCTCTTGTTATAATCTTGGCATAGGTGACATATTATTGACAGTTGCAGTCAACATGTTACATATTTTTCATATTATTATCCACCCTCCCATACTGGTCAATGGAATTTGGAGGGGGAATTATTTGGCACCACCAGTTTTTGGCTTGTTTGTAACTGAATTTTATCCAAACTACTCATTATCAATTTCAACAAAGTAAAACTAAAAAATCTTATTGTATTTGCTTCTATCATGTTTGCATTAGTGGCAACCTTATGTCTTAGCATATATTACAATAGATATATATAAACTTTATAGTGGTTTTTTGCCAACATTATTTCTCTGTTACACAATTTGTAACAGGTTTCAGTTTTGAACATTTGGTATTCTTAGACTTGTTTGAAATACTTCCCTGTAACCAGTAATTCCCTTGACAAAATTAACATAATTACAATGTTTTTATTATTGGTTGTTTCTTTCTTTTCAGGAAATAAACCCACACCACCAGAATATGATAATTCTGTAATGGACATGCTGAAAGATCATGCAAAAAATAAAGACAGAAATGTTAGATTACAACAGCCTGCATTGTATACATAGATTTTCTCCCTTTGTAGATCTGTTACACACAATTCTTGATCAGAGCATGTTGATAAAATACTAAGTTTAATCAGTGAAATATTTTTCATAGCACTTATTGTATGATTGTAAAAATAAACTTTAAAAGACTTTTCAAATTTTGATATCACTCATTGTATCATTGTTAAAATAAACTTATTCTTTTATATGAAATAGCGTAACGTATAAAAAAGGAAGATACATGTATTAGATATCAGTCAATGAATTTAAGATTTTGATTTTACTACCCCAAATTCCAGTTTTGAATTTGTTCTACTATATATTTAACTAAATGTTCTTAAAATTTTCACTGGCCCAAACTAATTTGGGCCAGTGCTAAATTCGATGACTGAGAAATAAATAAAAGAAATACTTTCAGAGATATTTCATTCTGACATAAAAATATTTGAATTTTTTCACTCTTCAGTGAGATATGATTTGCATTCATTCAAAGAAAAAAGTAGGCTGTTCTTTTTGTACTTTAATCATACACATATCATTTATATATAGTGTACATTTATAATTACATGAGAGAAAATTTCCAACTAGTGAAGTTCTCAGGTGTTCTTGAGAAATGGTTCTACATTTGCTGTGAATCTTTTGTTAGCAAATTTTTATGTGATAGAGCACTTTAATTTCTTTTGCTTTGAACATTTTTAATTTTATTAAAGTATTGCTGGACATTTACAAGTGTCAATGTTTTCAAAAGACTTATGTGTATTATAATACATAAACAGAATGTTAAATTTAAGAAAAAATACATTTGTAAAAAATGTTCAAATAAATGTTTACAAGCAATATGTTCTGTGATGTACTTGATGAATATTTACTTAATATGTTTTTCTATCATTTGCCACATTGACTATAGTAACAACTTTTGATACAATAAACAAGAGTGATCAATGTGTCGCCTCATGATAGCCAGTGGCATGTTGCAGCTACTGTGTGGCAGGAGGCAACATTAACGGGGCAAAACAAGTTTTTGTGTTGCCTTAACAGAGTAGTTACGACATATACAGGGATCACTTCGTCTGTCTGTCCATCACAAAACTTGTCTGGACTACTCAAAAACTACTAGTGAAATTTCATCCAAACTTTACAGGAATGAGTTGTGCATATCATCGGCATTTTCCAATTCAATGATATTTTTTTTCCAGATTTATGGCCCTTTAAGGATTTTTAAAGTTTGTCTGGACTTCTCCTCTAATACCACTAATGCAATTTCAATGAAACTTTATAGGATTTATCTGTACTGGCGCATATTACACAGGTTTTCTGGTTGAATGATTTTTGGCCAAGTTATTGTCTTTGAATAAAGCAGAGCGATCAGTGATGTTGCCTCATGATAGCCATAACTCAACCAAAATTCATTCAACCTGAAAACTGGTGTAGTATGCACAACTGCTTTAGCTAGTGATCAATCCTGTAGTTTCATTGAAATTGCATAAGTGGCATGAGAGTAGTCCGGACAAATTTTAAAAATTAGAATCATTAAAGGGCTATAACTCTGACAAAAATCAATGCACCAAATGTTGATGAGATGCACAACTAGACATGATACATGCAAATTTGGATTAAACTGCATTAGTAGTTTCTGAGGAGAAGTTCGGGCAAGCTTCTGTGTAGCTGGCAACACAAAAATAAATAAAAAAACACTTTTATTTTAGGGCCATAACTAATCCAAAAATCATTTCAACCTGAAAACGCGTGTAAAATGCTCAAGTACTTGAGCTATAGACCAATCCTGTAAAGTTTCATTGAAATTGCCTTAGTGGTGTAAGAGTAGTCCGGACAAACGTTAGAAATAAAAATTATTAAAGGGCTATAACTCTGCCAAAAACTTTTGATTATTCCTGTAAAGTTTGAATGAAATTGCGCCAATAGTTTTTGAGGAGTTGTCCAGACACAGTGATTTTTCTCACTTAATTGGGAAGAGGCCTTAGCCTCTTGATTTTGGGAAAAATTATCGCTAAAATTGCTAATTTGGGAAGGTAAAAAGCAGGTTTATGTTAAGATTTTTAAGAAAACTGCATGATTTTAAAGAAAATTGCATTTGGGAAGAGGCCTTTATCGGAGTCTGTTATGTAAGCAGGAAAATCACTGGGACAAGTTTTGTGACGTAATCTATATATGTCACCACTTCTCTGTAGAGGCAACACAAAAATCACTTGAATGACTGTGATTCTTAAAATTGTTTAACATCTCAAACGTCATTTCAGTCATGATTAAGTAAGGGCTACCAATTTTCTCCTTTAGATACAGTGGTAAAAAGTTGTATATTCTAGAATTTCCATTCTGATTTTAATATCAAAAATTAAGCAACCAACAGTGTTGAGTCTAGTCAGACAGCATTGATATGCAAGCTGGCCTGGCTTTATATTGGCACCTGAGGCTTATCACTTTTGGTTCCAGCAGGTTAAAATCATTGTATGCTTGAAATGATAACACCACTAACATAAAGCCAGATCTTTGTGCACTTTACTCTTACTAACTTCTTTAAAGTGGCTTTTTACTAAAAATTTCACCATCATTAATTGTATACCCTTAAATAAGCAGTGGTAAATTTTAAAATTAAATCGGGGGACAATGTGATCACACTAGTCAAGTTGGTGTTAAAGGGACTCCACTGAGGTTTTTTGACATGATGGGACTGAAAATATTTATACCAGATAAATGTACCATTTGATGTAGGTTTAGAACACTTTGTGCAAAATTTCAGATCATTCACGCACTTCGTTTTTCCAGAATAATTTTTCAAATTGTAAAAAAATTACCCAAAATGAAAAGTGTTTAAACACTTTTCACTCAAATCGGGCTGAGAAAAGCATACAAATACGATTTTAAATTTATTTCAAAGTATATTTCTTAACTATCTTTGCATATATTTCTGTTTAAAGTGCCCCAGCTCATTTATGTAAGAAATTCAAATGTTATGTTGTTTGGCTTTTAAACCTCAGTGGAGTCCCTTTAAGGTCAAAGAGGTAGGATTTTTATACCATATAAAGGTCACATGAGTCGCAGCACTCTAACGATATGGGAAAGGTGCTGCTAAGAGGTTCTGGGCTTGAGGGTTGCTATAAAGATACAGAAATACGCTCTCAGAAAATATTTATTATCAATGAATACGATGTCTGGCTCGTGCCATGAAAATCTTCAGTAGCAGTGCAAATACAAAATAATGACAAATGACACAAAATCATGAATGACGAAATGTAGAATAACAAGTATCACCAGGGATCAATACAGACATTCATATTTACCTATAAAAAATACAGAAATACGCTCTCAGAAAATATTTATTATCAATGAATACGAAGTCTGGCTCGCGCCATGATTATCTTCAGTAGGAGTGCGCATGCGTGAAGGTACTTAGTGCAGAAATAGAATATTTAGAATTGAGGCCCGTACCAATGGTTAGTAAAATGAATGAATGAAGAAATGAATGAATGAGTAAATGAATAAAAGGATGAATGGATGGAATATAGGAAAAGGACACAAATATAGGACTTCACAAGATATATACATTACCAAATACAACAGACATGACATGGACATGTAAATAACATAATCTATGGTGTACAATACGGGACATACATTTACAAATAACATAAAACATTAACACATCAATATGACCCTGCGACACATGGAATGGACTTGACTTAGATATGATGCTAAACTTAGATTAAGAAAGGACCATGACCTGTCCAATCAGTCTGCAAAGAAAATAAAAATAGGTTATCAATGTATCATTTTGTTTAATCATATGTATCATTTAAAGGTTAGCCTTTGATTATTTCAACTGGGCTTGTCTAGTCATGATTGATGATGCCCCTGATACTACATGTACCGGGTATGTAACTTTACAAACTGTTAGATAGATATTATAACTTAATTATGAAAGTATGTTAGGCAAGGAACCAGACAATGGGGTTGTTATGATTCCATTTTAGAACTGTACATTGCTTGGTTAACCCCCGAAGCCTGCAGACAGACTAAATCTACTTGTGCAATCAGTGGAAACCAGCCTGTCTACACACAGCACATCCATCAGGTTCCTGATCATGGTCTGCACTGTTAGCTTTTCACTCAGTACAATTTTTTCCCCCCTAAAATTGATAAATAGTTTTATCCTGCGAGATTCAAAGATGGTCAATTCCATTTAAGATATTAATCATGGTTAGGGTTAGGTGTTCTTACTGTTAAACTGAAAGAAATTAAATCTGGTCCTGAATTATTACCTTGCTGCATTATAGGTCGCATATATGTTAACCCATTACCAGATATATACGCCTTTCTACGCTTTTTTCACCCCCCCCCCCTTTTTGCTTTCTCAAATGGTGAAAAATTGCCTTATTTAGGCCCCAAAACACTTGTTTTTGTTTGAGAAATGTTGTTTAAAAAATTGACCACTTTTTCGGCGCCGTCCCCCATCCAAAAGATACATCAGGGGTTGCATGAAGGGGGATGTGCCCCCTTCTGTTTGGGGGGTTTGAAGGGGGGCGAAGTCCCCCTCATCGCCAAGAAAATTTTGGACTTGTGAGAGGCTAAAAATGACCCCAGGTTGATCGTAAGGTAACGTGTAACCAATGCTGAAAAGCCTTTGACTCTAACTCAATCCATTGAGAAGTGGCAGCACTTTGAAATCAATTTTGATGGAAAAAATCAACGCAAAATAGTGATTTTTGGCAATTTTGAGATGTCCCCTAGTTGCCATGGTAACAGGAAATTTAAGACTGAGCATGTTGTTACAAAGGCAATGGTCCAGTCAACATTTGTGCCAAGTTTGATTAGTATTGAAGCAGTTTTTATAGTTTTATAGCAACTTGAACTTGTAAGGGGAGACTTTTCAATGAAAACAGCCATTTTTCACAAAATGCTCATGGGGTAATGGGTTAAATAATAATTATCACCACTGATGTGCTTAACAAAAAGTCATAAAATATTGTATGATCAAAACTCAAACCCTCAAGTTCTTACTAACATTTACTCTAATGGTCTTGTCTTACTTAGATATTGGAAAAGTCCATTGTTAATCTGCGGGTAGGGAAGGGGATTTTATTATCAAAACTGAGCCCACCTATCAGTAACATGTCTGATCAGATACTGTGTATGTTCAGACTGGCTTAGCTCAATACTTCGTGACACAGCCAAGTGTGACCAAAAGGGCTGTATTATATGCATTATCTGTATAAATATCATTGTGACTGGACACTAATCTTAAAGTATTTTAACAAATGGTACACTAATCATGTGTAAAGGTCAAGTAGATATTTATTATCATTTATGAACAGATTATTTCAGGTTCATTTCATTAACTGCTAATATCTGATCTAGTTTTCTGAAAGTGCGCAGCTAATATGGAGTTGACTGCTATTTTAGTTTTGAATCCTGCTGTTCTAAATGAATTGGCAGGCCAAAATTTTACTGACAATTCTGAATTTTACAGGCTTAGGATACTAGTATACTGAATTTATTTGTAAGAATAATTTTTGTCTAATAGATCTTATTGAAAATGTTAAACTGGCAGTTACAGGTTACCCCTTGGAGTATTACTGTACACTGGTACCGTATGCAAAATGCAAGAAAAATTATGTTGTTTTTTTTTTTTAATTTTGCACATTACATATTACATGTACAAGTATGTCTAACCAGGAATTTTAAATAAAAAAAACATCCTTTTCCAAATTGTCCTGAAAAAGAATGAAAAAGAAAACAAATATCAGGAGTGGAAATCAATTTAATATCTTTCCATAACACACATTTTACTCTTTTTTTTCTCTTAATTTTCAAGTCTATTTTTTTTCTCATTTTTTGCCTGGCTGCACTGATGTAGCGAAGCCAACTTGGCTGTTAACCTGGTCAAACTCTGTGTAGAATTGTCCGATGAACACATCTCCAAGAATCCATAAAGGTCCTGCAGGGGGTGGCACATTTAGTCCAAGGAAGCCACTGATACACTGTGTCTGACCTCCCTGTGAAACCTGCACAAAAAAAATATCGTTAAAATAAGGGTTAATTTTAGCCTTCTGTAATAGCTGAGTAATATGGCAGCATAAATTCACTGCTTTGAAGACTTTAAAGAAAAAAAGAATCCATTTTCCCTTGTTGTTTTCAAACACTTTAGTAACCGAGTATTCCTCTGAAACAACCTCGATAACTTCAGAGGAAAGAATTTCAAACAAGATTTGGTTATGTCCAACTTCAAAAATTTCTTCTAGCAACTTTATTTTTTGATCAATATCTCCCATAATTATTTGGTAGGTTATGTTGGCATCTTTCTGCCAACAGTTAACCATATAATTACCACGTTAACTATCTGACTAACTAGTAGTTTTCATGTTAACACAACACAGACTACCTAGATATTTTTTTCTGTTAGATAAATAACAAATAAGTATCTAACTTCCAAAAACACTAACACATGCCCATAACTGCAACCACTTACCAGTTAAATAATAGACAATTGTATCATAGTTTGGGGACCTTTCTGCTGAAAATGTGTCCGAGTTAAATCGTATACATATACATGCACAGTGCGTTAACTGGAGTGCAGGTATTAGTTACCCGCACTCCAGAGCATACCCATTGATTGGCTCATTTTTGCTGGGGTTTACTTATTGTGACGGCAGAAAGGGAAAGCGACAGAAATGTCATATTTAGATGCTCATTCATTGGTTACTTTTCTCCGGGGTTTCATATTGTGACAACAGGGAACGTGTTATTATGTTTGACTATGACACAAATGAGAAAGAACATCAAAACACTCGGCAATCTGATTTAAACTCAGGGGCTATGACCCCTCGTACAAATCAGATAGCCTCGTGTTTTGATGCTCTTTCTATTACTTATCTGTTTATCTATCAAACCTTTTTGTTTGTAAACTTAAGTTAACTTAAGTATCAGATAATTATCTGTTGAATAAATTTTCACAATATTACATGATGTAATTTGTCAGTAAAAATCATTTCAAAGTAACTTAAAATGTTGTAAAGGAATAGAAACATAACTATATGCATATACAAATGTATGTGACAGAATACATAAGAATGAAGTAGCAACTTATACTCCTTAAATTTGTTGGTTGGTGAGCATAAAAGATATATATATATGTATATATATATATAAATACAAATAGGCAACTGTTTATTAGAATAAGTACGGTAAAAATGAGTGCTATGTATATTTTCACTAAATAAAAGTGCAATATTTTTATTTATTTTTTTTTTTTTGGGGGGGGGGGGGGTAAGGGAAATGGTGGAAAGGAACAACAACTCAAATAATTTAACTTAAATTACATGTAATATCTGACAACATATTACACATTCTATAGGTAAACACAGAAGAAAATTATGTCATTTTTTACAAATGAAAACTAGTCTATCTGTGCAAAAAATAAGCATGATGTTTCATAAAAAAAATGCCAAATAGCTATCTAATATTTGAATTACAAAAAGGAGAACCAAAACTAGTAAGAAAGGCACAGACTATTGTGGTCACTAAAATAATGACACTAAGTAAATAAGATCTTTTTGCAAAAGACAAAAATATACAACAAAATAATCATAGATATGTAGAAATAAAGTTATATAGTATTTAATTTTCTCCACAAGTCCTTAGTCTTAAGTCAGTGAACAACAACAATATTGTACCAAAATCCAAACATTTTGTTGATTCACTGTGATAAAAATGGACGAAAGCATATATAGTGTTGCCAGGCAACAAGGACAAAAACATTTATTATAATATCAACAACAAGAAAAATAACACAGATACAAATGGAATGATGGTGTACAGAATAAAGAAATTCTAGTTAGTACAACCATTTTCAAAAAAATTTCTTGGTATTAGATTTTTCTTCATTACAGTCAAACCTGTGTCAGACATAATTTCTTTCCATTATACTAAAAATATAACAATAAAAATAAAATCTTCACCTATCTTTTATGTTCAGCCAGTGTGTTTAAATAAAATTTCTGTTTGGACAGACTACTAATGTCAACAAGGATCACAATTTTATTACATAAGACTGGTCTTTAAAGACAAGTTTTACTGTTATCCATTGTACCATAAATATAGTTTAGTATTTCCCATATGTTACATTTTCTGTGAAGTAATTTTATTTTTCCCAAAGATCAATCAAATAAAGCTATGCAATAATTTTATCCATTTGACATTCATAAATATTAAAAACGATAGGTACAACAACTTTAATATACAAGAAATTGCTGACTTGAATTTTATACTGCAATATGTACAAAGAAAAATAAGTGCCAGGAAAAAAATATATATCTAAGCACAATTTCATTGAGCAAGTGCGATGCAAATCTCCATACAAGAAAAAAATAGGAAGAAACTCTTAACAATTCTATTTGTAAAATACAAATTAAGCAGAGCAAAGAAGTCCACTTTCACTATTTTAAAAGATCTTCAAATAAAACAACCGAGATTCTTTTTAAAGTAAAGAAAAATGAAATAGAACACAGATGAATATTCCTAAAATCATATGCACCCATAACAAGAAAATTCAAACCATCAAAAAAATATTATTTCATATTCGGTAGAATTATGTGATATTTCATACATGATGACACAACAAAAACTATAACTGTATGGCAAATTATATATGCGGTTAAACTGTTATTCTAAAGAAACAGATCTTTGAAAATGAGCACTTTTCTTGCTATATAGCACAAACGTTTCCTTTTCCAGTACTGTGATGTTTATATAAATCAGTCTGATTAAAAAATTTGCAATTATTTTTCCAATTCCTATAACTTAAATAAAAATTTTATATCTGTTAAAAGCTTATGATAATTTCTAATATGATGCAACTTTATCTTACAAATATCATACCTGCAGTCATTTTTGAAGGAAATTGAATAACAAAACACCTAGTAAATTTACTGCTTTCCAAATTAATATAATCTGAGGGAAGAGATAACAGTTAGTCAAATTAACACAAGCCAGGCACTGCTCAAGCTATCCATAGATTTTGAAAAAGTCTTTAATTCATTATCACAGAAATTTTCTTGTCCGCCCGGACAGTTTTAGCCGGCTGTAACCTGTACATTGGCATTTCTTTTCCGGACTGTGTTGTATTCTGTACAGCGGTAGCAAACCCCACACGGCTATTTTCTTCGTCAAATTCTGTGTAGTACTTGCCGATGAAAACATCTCCAAGAATCCATAACGGACCTAGAGGCTTGGGTACATCAAGACCAATAAATCCGACTATGCAAATTTCCTGTCCCATCTCACTGACCTATGTAAACAATGGGGAAAGTGGTGTAAAATAAGTGCATGGGTAAGACAGGATAATTGATTGAAAGGGTTTACAGGGATTTATATGTTTCTTACTCTAAAAGGTATTGGCTTTGTCTACATTTAATTACACACACTGCAATGTTGATTTTATTATAATCGGTATCAGACTACTATGGTAAATCTGAGCAGTCAAAAGTGTGGTCAGACTGTACCAATATACAGGCTGACTTGGTCATAAACTGATGGCTTAGCCAAGTCAGCATGGTCATTAACATTTAAACATTGAGGCACTTAATATAAATGATAAAATAGAAATTTTGGCATCAGAATTTTAAAAAAAAAATTATTTTTAATCTTATCTTACAGTTTCTTACATTTTTTCCACCAAGAACACAGGATAATTTGTTTAAATGAAAATAAAAAAAGAATTCATTTTGAACATATATCCCCACCACCACAGCCATCAATAATTTCGGAAAAGACCATTACATTGAAAGAAGTTGGATATTTGTAAACCTGTAAGCAATATTTACCTGTGCAAATATGGAATATAAGAAAATTATGTGTGGATTGATGGGTAATACTGACTGGTTTTGGGAAAGAATGAAAAATTACCTTTAGGACGTATTCTGCTCCTGTAAGAGTGAATTCCTTTCCAGCAAGTGTAAACACAACTGGGGGAAGGCTGTCTATGCTGCCACAGTCAACTATATACTGAAACAATTAAATAAACAAGTAAACAAGAGCTGTCAGTAGGACAGTGTGCTCAACTTTTATAAGTGCTTGATAATAAAACATGAGCCTGGATAATGTAGAATTTTCTAAGTTAAAAAAAGGCCATAATTCTGTCAAAAACCATGTTAGTGTTATAGGCCTTGTGCAGTGACCTCCTACTTAGCTCTCAATTAAGTGAAGTGTGTGAAGTTTCAACCCATTCAATTAAGTAGTTTTGGAGATATTAACTTGTAAATTGTGATGCAGATGTTAATAAATCCGAGCTAAAATCATAAATATATAAAGAAATAATAATTAGGATAAAATATTCTGACTTTATTATATATTCAGAGATGATCAAATATTCTTAATCTATCAAATAATGAAAAAATTAGTCACACTATGCAGAAATGATCGAATATACTAAATTTTAATGCATTTATCAAATAATACAGGAATGGTCAAATGTACTCACTGAAAAAACACATAATGTAGAAATGAACAAATGTACTGAATTTAACACATAATACAGAAGTGGTCAAATGTACAGAATTTAACACATAATGCAAAAATGATCAACTGTACTAAATTTTGATGAATTTAACATATAATGCAGAAATGTTCAAATGTACTGAATTTAACACATAATGCAGAAATGTTCAAATGTACTGAATTTAACACATAATGCAGAAATGGTCAATTGTGCACTTGCATAGAGGAGTGACAGAGGTTTTTATTCACCCCTTAAGCTGTAAGTTGACTTTGTTACCATGAAAAAACTAGTATAATAATAACTAACCTCTCCTCCGACAATGGGTGTAGCACCAATCTGTTTGTTAAGTTTTGCAATTTCCTCAGTGGGTCCAGCAAGAAGTGAAGTACCAGTGTCAGCAATAGCCTGACATCCACCATCACAATAAGTGCTAGAGCCAACAGTGATGCTGTAATATACAAACATATACATGTATTTTCTTGTACCAAGTTGCCACTCTTGTACCAAGAGGTTCTGTTTGTACCAAGAAGTTCCTCTTGTACCAAGAAGTTCCACTTGTACCAAGGAACTCCTCTTGTACCAAAAAACTCCTCTTGTACCAGCAAGTTTCCACTTGTACCAAGAAATTCTGCTTGTACCAGGAAGCTCCTCTTATACCAAGATGCTTTTCTTGTACCAGGCTAGCCTGTTGTACCAAGAAGTTCCACTAGTCTTGTACCAAGTAGGTCCTCTTGTACCAAGCTGGTCCTCTTGTTCAAAGAAGCTCTTTTTGTTCCAAGTATGTAGGTATATTTGTACTAAGATGCAAGTTAAAGGATGTATCATAATAATTGATACAAGATCATATAATTATGATTTACTAATATCGAAGTACTTTACAGGTATTGCCTATCTTGTCCTAAATGTACAAAACCTACTATTATTTACATCTTGCATACAATATTCACCTACATATACAAGTGAAGTGTATACAATGTATTGAATGTGTTTTAAGAGCATGTTTCAACAATTTTTATTCTTTCTCACAATACTGGGTGTCTACAAATCTAAATAATTTTACAATAAGTATCAAGTTAAACATACCCGTCCATTTTGAATTGCCAGTATCCTTGTCTAGTGACAGGTACATATGTGAAATTACCAGTGTAATATTTTGGGTCACTGCCTCCAAAGATCAGCTCACCACCACTTTCAGCTTGCGGGTTTCTGTAATTCCATAAAATAATAAATTTGTGATTTCAAACAATTTACATGATTATTGATATTCTGATTCACATTTTCACCCCTTGAAAAAGAAGAAACATTTTAAGACTTCTGAAACAAATATTCTTAATTTGTTGCATTACAAAAGCTAAAATAACATTTTTAAAATAATCTGTACTAAAGTACCTTAATTGAAATAATGATGTAAGTAAATTTTCAATTAATACGGGTAATGCACAAATGAAATTATTGCTAAACCACCTAGAAATATCAGGTGACTATTTTGTTTAGGAATTTTACAGTTAGTTTTTTTTATAACCATGTATATTAAAACAATAAAGGCATCCTTGGTTAAACCTCTCCAGACATGACAATTTGAATATGAAAATACATGTAGCATGAATGCATGGAATTAATTACATTGAAATTTTAATTTAATGTGTGGCAACAGTGCATTCTCAGTTGTTAAAAGTTTAATTTCGTTTTTTCTCCTTTAGAAGTCACAAATTTGAAAATTTCCATAAAAAAAATCATGGAATTTACAAGTACTGTTCCCCAAAACAAGAAGGGAGTGCAGCATTAAAAAAGTAGCTATACATACCTGTCCAACCAGAATGAGAAAACTGCCTTTGGAACCAAATGCTCTTCAACAGCTGTATCAAATACTGGTGTAACACCATCAACAGAGATTGTTTTAAATCCCATACCAAGAATACCATCAAATTTAGCAGCAACAAATGTTATACCAGGCTGCTGGGTGGCTTCTGCAAATGTCTGATCAGTGATTTTCAAAGATCCAATCTGAAAAAAAGAGGAAATGATACTCCTTCAAAGTCTTCTTAAAATCTATATTGTTAGTTATAATCGTCACCTTAGTGCAGTAATGGGTTAACTCTTTTCATTGTACATGATTGTATGTGACAGCAATGTAACTCCATGTTTTGAAATTAGGTTTGATACTATATATTAATACTATAATAAAATAGTTTAAAATCAAAATCAGGATATAACTCAAACCAACAGAGATAGGGAGCATGCATTTCTATATCATTACATAAACTACAATGGTTTCATTTTAGAAAATCAAACAAACGTTTACAATGAAAGAAAGTGTTTTTAAAGGTTTTTGAACATCTAAAATAACTATAAATAATTTAAAAGTAAATGGGTTCTATCAGGGCGTGTTATGATTAAGATTAACTTACTGTAACAGTGTCTGTGCTTAGGAAACCTGAAAGAGATCCAGATCCATATCTGATCTCAAATTTTGTTCCATTAGCCTTGTATGTTGAAGATTTGGTGCTGTCATATTTCTGGTGAAGTACTGAAAAAGTTTGTTTACTATAAATAAAGGTTAGATTTGGTGCTGTCATATTTCTGGTGAAGTACTGAAAAATGTTTGTTCACTATTAATAAAGGTTTTATGAGGAAAAAAGTCTCTATCTGTATTGCAATAAGCTATACTCAATAAGCTAAATTCAAAATACTTATTAAGACTGACACCATGGTAAAGTTAGCATTATATTACATCACATAATGTTTTAGGAAATTTATTGGATGATAATAAATCCCTTTCAAAATCAATAAAGCAAAAAAGTAGATTAATCTAGTTACCAGGTAATCAGAGAACTCTGGTTTAATTATAATTACAAGACACTTTCAAATTAATTCTCAAGAAATCTGGTATCAGATATGTCTATCCTATGTTCAATTACATTAATTCTTTACAGTTAAGATGATAGCATTTGCCGTTTAGAAATTCCATTCAACTAGAAGTTATTAGTACATAACATAAAATCATTGTTTTTGTTGATAAATACTTACAACAGGCAATGTCTGAGAGTTTACACTTCTTAGATGGTACCCACAGGTTTGATGACCCAGTATCAAACACAACATTGAAACTCTGAGGAGGGGTACCAATGGTAATTGGTCCATAGTATTGAGCCTAGAACACAAATATATATGCTATATAACTTAAACAGAAAACATCATAATTGCTGTGTCAATTGAGAAGAACAGACATGCTGTGTCAATTGGGAGGGATAGAACTGCTGTGTCAATTGGGAGATATTAAAATGCTGTGTCAATTGGGAGAAATTAAAATGCTGTGTCAATTGGAAGAAATTAAAAGGCTGTGTCAACTGGGAGAAATTAAATTGCTGTGTCAATTGGGAGAAATTAAAATGCTATGTCAAATGACAGAAATAAAATGCTGTGTCAATTGAGAGAAACAAAAATTGTATGTCAGTTGGGAGAAATTAAAATGCTATATCAATTGGTAGAAATTAAAACTCTGTGTCAATTGGGAGAAATTAAAATGCTGTGTCAGTTGGGAGAGATTGAAATGCTGTGTCAGATTGGGGTTATTAAAATGTTGTGTCAATTGGGAGAAATTAAAATGCTGTGTCAATTAAGAGAAACAAAAATGCTGTGTCAATTTGGAGATATTAAAATGGTATGTCAGTTGGGAGAAATTAAAATGCTATGTCAATTGGGAGAAATTAAAATGCTAAGACAGTTGGGAGAAATTAAATGGCTGTGTCAACTGGGAGAAATTAAATTGCTGTGTCAATTGAGTGAAATTAAAACGCTGTGTCAAATGGGAGAATTAAAATGCTGTGTCAGTTGGGAGATATTAAAATGCTGTGTCAATTGGGAGAAACAAAAATGCTATGTCAGTTGGGAGAAATTAAAAGGCTGTGTCAAATGGGAGAAATTAAATTGCTGTGTCAATTGAGTGAAATTAAAACGCTGTGTCAATTAGGAGAAATTAAAATGCTGTGTCAGTTGGGAGATATTAAAATGCTGTGTGTCAGTTGGGGATATTAAAATGCTGTGTCAATAGAGAGAAACAAAAATTCTGTGTCAGTATTGTGATATTAAAATGCTGTGTTAGTTGGGAGATATTAAAATGCTGTGTCAATTGTGAGAAATTAAAATGCTATGTCAATTGGGAGATATTAAAATGCTATATCAATTAGGGAATAACTGTGCAAAAATACTACTCACGATTAATTGCCCTTTATTAAAATGGGATCCCGTATTGATAGTGGTTTGAAGTAAATATCCCTACTGAGCAAAATGAAGTTGCAGGTTATCTTCCCTTTTGATAGGCATACAATTTTGTATAGTGAACAAACCTTACAAAATTTAAAGCAATTGTTTTGTAGATTTTGATAATAATGGACCTCCACAAAAATGTTCAGAAAAAGGAGGGGCATAATTTTGCAAACATTAAATTTAGGATTATATTTTCTTTACAAATTGTGTCGCATTTAATAGCGAGCATGTATACCAAGTTTGAAGTAATAAGTCTACATAGAATGAGGAAAATTCTCTTCGAAAAATGATGCTAAAAAGCATAGAAGAAATTGTCTTCATCAAGCATTTTATTAATCATACAATTTATTATATGTACGTACATGAACTGTATCTTGATACTATTCTATACATAAACTAGAACAATAGGTTACTGTTATCTACTGAATAATCTCCCCTATCTACTTATGACTCTGATAAGTGTATCAATAAGATGTAGGACTTTCACATGAATGATCATGTTGCCTCATGACTCAAGTTCATTGCCACTGGAACAAAGTCTTTTCAGAAATAAACAAGTTGTTAACAATGATTTAAGATAATGTATATGGTATGATTTATAAAGTTTATAGTTGTGTGTGTCTTAATTATCTTCGGCTGATTTGATTGTTTTAATTTTTTGTTTTTAAATTTTGTATCATAAATAAACATTGAAATCTTCCTAATGGAAAAGATGGGCTTGGAGACACTCCCTGATTGCTTCTTAATAAGTATTACTATTTAAATGTAATCCAAATGTTTGAAAGTCTGGCATGGTTTAAATTAATCCATTTAGAAAATTAGAAATAAATCAAAGACAGAAAAAGTAGCATATTAAAAATTATACAGAGAAATTGCAGAAAAAAACTAAGTAGTTAGACAGTGCCTCAAAAACAAATACAGACAGACAGCAGCTCAAATGTAACATCAAAGTAGTAAAGACTTAATGGTAGTTAAAAAGTATAAACATCAAAAGTAAAGTTAGTTAAACTTATATATTGGTAGTGAAAGTCAGAAACAGATAAAATTTACATTAATATAATTAAACAGTTAAAACTTACATCAAGACAAGGTACATGTAGTTAGACAGTAAAAAAATTACATCAAGATAGACAGTATTCACTTACCAAGATATTTGGCCAGTAAAAACTAATTAATGTACCTGGACAGTAAAAACTTTTATCAAGGTAGTTAAACAATAAAAACTTACATCAAGATAGTTTGACAGTGGCTCAGGAGCTGGGCCATCTATAGGATAACTGTTATATTTCAATCTAAGAGATTCAATTGATGTTCCAACTTCATGGAGAGTACGCCTTACAGATTTCATCTTGTGCAATTTGATCCTGTAATATCAAAAGATTTGATTATATCTTTATCTGTAATGACTAAAGAGAACAATCATGTATACATACCCATCAAGGGTTACATATAGAACTATTTAGCTGTGAAACCCAATACAATGTATGTTTAGAAAGACTTGCATATCTTCATTTTATGCAACTGTCTTAGCATTGTAACAAAAATAGCTTTAGCCCCATTATCATATACATTATACATTGTAGGAATTATTTCATAGGTTTAGTTACAATTCATTTCAATTTTCAAAGATGAATTTCAGCTATATTTGATTTTATTTGGCAAATATACTGACTATTAGCATCATTTGACTTAATTTAATCACTCATTCTTGTGCCAGGGCCTCCTCATAACATTTTTTTTAAAAAGGCCTTTTAAGAAAAATTATGTGGCTTCTTGGTTCAAAATTTACCTAAAGAATTTCAAAGGTTAATAATGTGTATGATTGTGTACAGGTGTACTTCTATAAAAACTTGTAAAAATAGTTTTAAAAAAATATAGGTAACTTTTTTCCAGCTGTACTGGTTGGGGACCACCAAAACCAGACAACCACCAAACCCGGACGGCCCCGAAAATGCTTGATTTAGAATTTTCTTTGTTCAGTGGTTGTCAGTCACTTTTTTATCAACAATAAATGCATGTTTCTTCTATAATTAAGTAAATAAATTTATTTCAACCTCCGTAAATGGTAATATTTTAATGTCTATTTCAAGAATGTTGACGTTGAAATTTGGGGGTCAAGAAAGCAATGCCTGACCTCATATAACAGCAATAATTATTTGCAAAGTAAACAATAGAATATCCAAAACTTCAGCATTTGCTGCTGAAATATTGTGTGTCATGTTAAAAATAAAAAAAAGAACACCAAAGCTTTTATCTGTATTAAATCAACATTATTACATATCTGTCCGGACACATGGTACTGTAGTATGTACAATTTAGGTAATTTTGATACCCTCCTTGACGGGCCTCGGATATAAGTGTCAACATAATCAGAACTAAACAAACTAGTTTGTTAGTTAGGAGAAGAACCTAGCTGTACTGTGTCAAATTTTTGTACCTTTAGCTTTAAAATTATGAAATTTGTATAGAAAAATGTTCAAAAAGTGTCCGGTTGATGGTCCCTGACTAGTCAAAATATTTTAACCTACGGGATTTTTAGATAATTTTTGACATGGTCAAAAGGGCGTAGCTCTGATCGCGTTGATATTTCGACTAGTCCCTGACCAGTAGCGAATATGTTTAGATCTACTATTATTTTAGGTGTATAAATGTATATATGTTTTAAAATGGGAATAGAAAGTTATATAGATATATAGATACTGGCCCCTTGTGAAAATTTAAAAAATGCAGGAACTGTGGAATAGGATAATGCATTGTGTCATCCAAAAATATAAAACATATGATCATATCCGGTTACTATTGCAGTAACATACATTACTCACCGGAATGACAGTCTAAAAAGCATAAATTACCTTTCAAGTCCATTGCACATGGATACAATAACCCCCAAAAGTAACAGCGCTAAACCCTTCATCCTTCTTCTATGTCCACTACTTGCAAAGTGAGGATTTAAAACAAAGAATCATGTGATGTTCAACTCGCGTGAAGATCATGTGACATTGTTCAGTCATGGTATCACGTGACCAAAATTTATTTTGGCGGGAAATTTTAAAAGAAAAACGTCAAATGCCCGACAAAACTATTAAAATGAAATGTCTGAGCTCAGGAGCTCTTGCATATACTGGAGCTTTAAAGATGAGATAGAGAAAATTTGTTAGAAAACAGGTTTTAAGTAACATACTAAAACGCGCACTTTTGTTGTTGTTTTTTTGCCATCTTTAGATAAAATCTAGATCTTTCCAGAGATGAAGATATCATCTATCTGTCTTATAGATCTTTTTTCTGATATATCTTATCTATGTTCAGATTCTACACCTCAACAGCCAACCTCTAGACTTACCTAGGTAAACACGGGCAGTTTAAGCTTACCTATGGAACAGAATTAATGCATTTATTCCATCTTGCTTTATGATATCGGAACTTTCATTATGCTTGCTTCTATACTTCTTTATGACAATGAAAGCCTGCGTTTTGCTGAATTCAATCATGCTTTATGATTACTGAATGCACTTTCATGTAATTGCAACCTTGTGTGTTCCCTACTAAACCATCAAACTCACATATTTTAATATGCTATATGTTTAGTTGCATCTTTTTTTAAGGACAACGTATTATGTTTGGTGTTTAAGATAACATTCTTTAATTATAACTATATGTAACATGGTAGTTAATTGTATCTTTAATTTGCTATAAATCTGCCACTTATATTGTCGACATTATGTCAATATTCATTTTGATCAATATTTGGCGAATTTGATGTGTCTTAGCATTCATATGCTTCAATATATTCACTGATTACAAATATAATGCAATACATGATCACTGCTGCGAGTTGCAATAATTTGTGTTCATATTATGACAGCAGGTGTCGCTTTGTCGGTACATCCCGTTATTTTCCGGATGATCCCGTATTTTGGCACAGTTACGTCCACTTTATATAGGGGCGTATACAGAACAGTGTTAGTTGGGGACTGACATGTAAATTTACTGAAAAACAAGAGAACACGATGCGACAGACGAAAAGTGCGTGTTTTTGAAGATTCCGCCAGCATGTGGAAAAAAAGTTATATATGTCTCTAATAACTCATCCTACAAGTGGCAACTCACCTCTTATACAATTGTTTACACTTCTTTTGAGCGTGTGTGATAAGTGAAATTGAATATTATCAAACTTAAGGTGGCACAAAGGTGACATGTGTGTGTTTTTATTTATCTCGTGCGCACGAGATACTGTGTCGTGGCCACGGGTTACTAAGTCGTGGCCACGAGATAGTTAAGTCGTGGGAACGAGATACTATGTTGTGGCCACGAGCTACTAAGTCGTGGCCACGAGATAATTAAGTCGTGGGAACGAGATAAGTAAATCGTGGCTACGAGATAGTTAAGTCGTGGGAACGAGATACTATGTTGTGGCCACGAGTTACTAAGTCGTGGCCACGATATAATTAAGTCGTGGGAACGATATAACTAAGTCGTGGCCACGAGTTACTAAGTCGTGGCCACGAGATGAATAAGTCGTTGGAACATGTTACTATGTCGTGGCCACGAGAAAGTTTAGTCGTGGCCACGAGAAAGTTAAGTCGTGCGAACGAGATAAATAACCAATCAAATTACACTATTTAAATGAATTTTCCTAACAAGGATGCCCCTACTTCACTTGCCCGTAAAAGTGCCATTTATACAAGTTATTGATTGGTCAAAGATTTAGCGTCATTGTGACCCTTATTTCTGACCAAATTGCCTAAAAATTATTAGGTGCCATCTACTGATCTTTTTAGGTTATATAAACTACGGCTTATTCTTTCTTTATCATTCATCAGACAAGGATTTTACATGCAGTGTCATGTTTACCTGACCTGTGACCACAAACATCCTTATAGGATATCTACTGTCCATGGGCAATGTCCCTTCCCAATAAAAAAACCAGGACTAAGTCCCTCTCAAGTTATGGTATGAACAATGTTAACAGGCCTTTGATTTATGGGCCTTATGATCCTAAAGACATGTATTAAGTTCAAAGTGAACACTTCAGTATTTTCAAAGATTAATGTTGCACGTAAATCTTTAAACAGAAATTTTCTAAGTTTAAAAAATCATGGTGTTATCTTATTTAACTATCTCGTCTGCACGACTTAGTTATCTCGTTCCCACGACTTAAACGACTTAGTAACTCGTGGCCGTGACACAGTATCTCGTGGCTACGATATAGTATCTCGTTCCCACGACTTAACTATCTCGTGGCCACGACTTAGTAGCTCATGGCCACGACACAGTATCTCGTGCGCACGAGATAAATAAAAACACACACATGTCACTTAGAAACTCGTGGCCACGACTTAGTACAGTACAAACTTGATTTTTTTTTTTTGTAAAATAAAATAAATATAATTTGGCTTCACACAAACATTGTGCTTTAAATCCTTTACACTGTAAGTGGGCAGTATAAATATTCATATATAGTGTTATTACAAAAATATATATGGAAGTTTCTTTTAAAGACAGGCACAACTTTACTTGACCCGTAATAAGGAAAGCAGATTCCTATACATTATGTGTATGTGTTTTTATTTAAATAAAACATATTTAGTAAGAATTTTATAGATTTCAATAAATTTCTGTGATAAAAATATATTACTGAAAGATCATAGTATATCTTTAAGCACAAATGTATGTGAATGTGGTGGTGTGTGCGGGATGTCTGATCTATAATCAGACACTCATATGCCTAACATTTATAATTGACTATGCACATGTCACAAAAATAAACAACTTCCTTCTTTCCTTATTATACATGTATATTTTAATGTGTTACATACCTATTCGCAACTATTAGTGACTCTGAGACATTTATTAAGTTAAAAGGCCAATTAATAAGTTTTGCTTTTAATGTCCAAGCCATTAGATAAAGACCTTCGCAATCGCAGTACCTGGGCAGGTGCTTAACAACTGGATGACAGCATTATATGTTTTGATAAGGGAGTACACTATGACCACTATTGCATGAAACTTACACGTATATAAACCATCCCAGCTCATCAACGTATCTTTGGGGGTAGGTGCAGCCCTTAAGCCATGGCCTGAATCCGCCACTGTACGTATAACTGCCCCATTGAATAACTGTTTACGAGCATATTTTTTTTCTATTAGACTGTATACATATGCATGCATAAAATTATATTGCATAATCCTTACTACTTGTATTTATATTCTTTCCACTGCAATTTATGTATAAAGCGCTTGGTACGTATTTATAGCATTGTCGCCCTCTGTATTTTAACGTATAACCACGATGGCCCTAACGGTATTCCGTAATATATACATGTACGGAAAATTCCGATGATAGGCGAATCATGGAAAAAATCCGTTGATCTCGCTAACAGAGTTCTCGCCCCTTAACAGTTCACAAATCGCTAGACATTGTTTAAATTGTCTATCATAATGTAAGATGATCAAACATAATCCACAAAGCCTCAGACACCGTGCTTTATTAAGCATAAACACTGAATAATGGATATAAGCGAAAGCTAATAGTAATCACGCCATGCGAGCTATAAATCAAATAAGTCCCATTTTAACAAAATATATCAGGGAACAAAAAGTAGTCAATTTTAAATGACTTCTACATAAAAGTAATACAAAAAAACTAAACCGTAAATAGTTTGTATAGAGATGAAGAAAGGTAGCTTATACAGAAAGGTATATGACGTTAACATTTTAGTATTCCAAATGGCTTGTTCCAGTTTAATAGTTATCACTCAATGAAAGAATTGGTCAGTATGAGATATTTGAATGAAATAATGAAAAATGGAATCCAGAATAATGCAACGTTTAAATATCATAAAGCAAGATGGAATCAATCACAATGCAAGTTCTAATGTCATGTAGCAAGATGGAATTAAGCAAAATGCAAGTTCCAATGTCATCAAGCAAGATGGAATCAAGCATAATGCAAGTTCCAATGTCATCAAGCAAGATGGAATTAAGCATAATGCAAGTTCCAATGTCATCAAGCAAGATTGAATAAATGCATTAATTCTGTTCCATACTTACCCGATAGATCTGCGTGCTCTTTGAGCCTCAAAAACACTTCTCGTTTATAATATTGCAGGTAGATCTAGATTACGTACATTTTAGATTCTATAATTATGAACAAAATGAAAAAAAAAACAGCGTTATTTTTGTTAAAAGAAGATTGACCGGCCCCTTTCATGACCATTGCATTCTGAGTCATATAAATCAAAGTTGTTTTTTTGTAGATGACATAAAATTTTAATGTTTAAAAAAAGTGCCTAGATCTAGATATAAATGACCAAATGATATTTTTTTCATTTGCCGCCAATAAAGTGCTACCCATCCAAGATGTAAAACAAATACTTACCCATGCAAAAGTAGAAAACTAAGATGTTCGATATACATTTGATGGGACCCTTTTTAAATAATTTTCGTATAAAAATCCATATGAAACAGGCGTGCGTTTCTCTTCTTCTTTTTTTTCTTTTGTTTTTTTCCAGTACTTTAAAGATCCTGGCTATGTTGTAATTGAGGTTGTATACCACACTTATGTGAAATTATATATATGTATATAATTATGCTTATAATAATCTAAACAGTTTTCTAACATCGAAGAATATGTGAAATATGTACATGTACTGCAAATATTTGTACATATTATATGTAATCATTAAAATATATGCATTCATTTCTTATTGAAAAATTTGACTTAGACTTTATAGAAAATAATTTCTTTATTACCTCCCTTTATTTACATGAAATGTTAAATTTAGTAATATCTTTATAAATAATGCTTTTTGGAATTTACAAAATTGATAAATATTAATTTGAGCATCATATTTATAATATAAAACCATAAAAAAAGATTTGTGTTACAGTATATTTAATTAAACCGTAAAATTCGATCCCACGCGGATTCTGTCAAATGCACGAACATGTCGTGCTTTCCTTGCCACAGAGCTTTATTTTTAATAAAAGTCTCTGATATTGATCAAATCTTATTTGAACTTTCTTGAAAAAATGTGATTTCTTACTTATCTAGAAGAAAATATCACTATAGATTCTAGTCTGGTTCCCGTCGTACTATAAATTTTACTATTGAACGGAGAGAAAAGGGCAGGTAATCCAGAATATAGATTCATACAAATTGAATTCGAATGGTAGCGTCTGACCTAATAAGCGCTAGAGAGTTTTCTCCCTTTTGCAACGTAATTATCGCCACGTCATAGCCGGTGTCGCTGTGTCAAAATGGCGACTTCGTTGAGAGAAAAACAAATTACTGCTTTAAAGCGAATGTTGAATTTTAACGCCCCTATAAACAAAACAACTAATGTTGAACCTCAGTGGAAAGTTCTTGTTTATGATCGTTTCGGCCAGGACATTATTTCGCCTCTTCTTGGAGTGAAAGAACTGCGTGACTTGGGAGTGACACTACACCTGAATTTGCACTCTGATCGAGACACGATACCAGATGTTCCAGCCGTGTACTTTGTCATGCCAACAGACGACAATGTCCAGAGAATTTGCAGAGATCTCGAAAATCAGTTGTATGAGTCATACTACCTAAATTTTATTTCTGCCATCCCCAGACAGAAATTGGAAGACTTGGCAAGTACTGCCATCAGCAGTGGCAGTGTCACACAAGTTTCTAAAGTGTTTGACCAATATTTGAACTTTATTTCATTAGAAGATGACATGTTTACATTGAGACATCAGGATAGAGACAGTATATCATACTACTCGATCAACCGCGGAGATGTAAAAGATTCCGAAATGGAACAAATAATGGACACTATAGTAGAGAGTTTGTTTTCAGTATTTGTTACATTAGGAACAGTACCAATTATACGATGCCCCAGAGGTAATGCTGCAGAAATGGTAGCAGAAAAGTTGGACAAAAAGTTAAGAGAAAATCTGAGAGATGCCCGCAATAGTTTCTTTACATCTGATAGTGTTCAAGCTGGACAGTTCAGTTTTCAACGCCCTCTCTTAGTGTTGTTGGATAGGAATCTTGACATAGCAACAATGCTTCACCATACATGGACATATCAGGCACTTAGTCATGATGTTCTAGACTTTAAGTTGAACAGAGTTGAAATAGAAGAAGCCTCTGAAGTAAGATCACCTGGAGGAACAAGGCCAATTAAAAAGAAAAAATCATATGATATGCATAATACTGATAGGTGTGTAGTGTATATGAGATTTGTCAAATTGACAAGTAATTAATTCATTTTTATGATTGTGAGATATATGATGCAGCAAGTCACAGTGTTTTTAAACATTTTTGTTCGAAATTCTAACTCACATCAGTTTGGCATAAATAAAATTAAATGTGATTAAAGGGACTCCACTGAGGTTTAAAAGCCTAAAAACATAACATTTGAATTTCTTGCATAAATGAGCTTGGGGCACTTTAAACAGAAATATATGCAAAGATAAATAAGAAATATACTTTGAAATAAATTGAAAATCGAATTTTTATGCTTTTCTTAGCCCAATTTGAGTAAAAAGCGTTTAAACGCTTTTCATTTTGGGTCAGTTTTTTACAATTTGAATAATTATTCTGGAAAAACAAAGTGCGCGAATGATCTAGATTTTGCACAAAGATTAGTCAATAGTGGTCAAAACCTTCATCAAATGGTACATTTATCTGGAAAAAATAATTTCAGTCCCATCATGTCAAACAACCTCAGTGGGGTCCCTTTAATTTGCACTATCAAAATTTATCATGCAACATAATAACAAAGGTACCCAAAAGAGTCTATTACTCATCAATATTTAAAGTAATAATAATTAATTTAAAATATCAATGGAGTATCTTGTTATAAATGACATTGGCTTCAATAAATATTTTAAATAATTACTTGTTGTTTTTCAGATTTTGGCAGATACAAAAGGGTAATCCATTTCCAACTGTAGCAGAAGCAGTTCAAGAAGAACTTGATGCTTACCGTGCAAAGGAAGATGAAGTGAAAAGCTTGAAAGCTGCTATGGGAATAGAGGGAGAGGATGAATCAGCTATCAGTATGCTGTCTGATAATACAGCAAAGTTAACCTCTGCTGTTAGCTCATTACCAGAACTCCTGGAGAAGAAACGTTTGATTGATATGCACACTAATATTGCAACAGCTCTTCTCGATCAGATAAAAAGTCGTAAATTGGATGTTTATTTCGAAACTGAAGAAAAGCTTATGAGTAAAGCTATGCTTGATAACCTAATGGAGATTATATCAGATCCTGAAGCAGGGACACCAGAGGATAAGCTAAGGTTATTTCTTATTGCTCTCATCTGTGGGCCTACTTTGAGCGATGGACAGATTGATCAGTATAGGGATGCTTTAGTAGCCGCTAATTGTGATGTGTCGGCTCTGCAATATATTAGAAGATGGAAAGCTTACACCAAGATGACTGCAGCTCCGAGTCAATATGGTGGAGGAGGTACTAAAACTGTGAACATGTTTTCAAAATTAATGTCACAGGGGTCACAATTCTTCATGGAAGGTGTGAAAAATCTTGTGATTAAAAGACATAATCTCCCTGCAACTCGTATTGTAGATGCGTTAATGGAATTGAAAACAATGCAAGACATTGAAGATTATCGTTACTTTGACCCAAAACTTCTAAGAGCAGATTCATCTATTCCCCGTAACAAATCTCCATTCCAGGAAGCATATGTGTTTGTAGTAGGTGGGGGTAATTACATTGAGTACCAGAATCTTGTAGACTATGCTAAAGGAAAATCAGCAACATCGCCAAAAAGAGTTGTTTATGGCTGTAGTGACTTGTCAAATGCATCACAGTTCCTCAAACAATTATCTCATTTAGGTCAAGAAATGTAATACATACATGTGATAGTTATTCATTTCAATTTTTTGATTTACATGCAATATAGTCAAAGTGCTCACAGTTTTAAAGAGGTGGCTATTTATTTGTAATTATTAAGTCAGAAGTATATCCTAATTTTCATAGACATCCATAATTATATGATTTTTTTTTTATTGGGAACCTAACCGTAAATTAGTCATTCTTTAATTTTGTATTTTGCAACCAAAATTTCAATTTAATTTTGTATTTTGCAACCAAAATTTCAAAGGCGCTAATTTAACTTAAATGAACTTGAAATTGATCAAGAAGTAACTTTGAATTTTTTTCAAGTTTTGTCCTGTTCACCATCTCTTTGATGGATAGGGATTCTTTATAAAGGTGGTCATAGAGAACACTAGGGTATAAACATGTGTATAAACATCATAATTGTACAATTTATTTATTGTTTTACTTGCTTATAATTCTATTTATTTAAATAGGATACACCTTGGCTTAATTAGTATGTTCATTTGTATTTACAATTTATGATATCAGTCCTGTAGATTAAGTTACACAGAAACAGTATAAAGTGCTAATAACAGAAAAGATCATGTACATACTAGGAATGGAAAAAAAATTGTTAAATGTCAACATTATGTGTATTTTAGCACTTAAGATTGTCACAATATGCTACTAGAATGTGAACTTGTTTCATGATATATAATGTTCAGCTACATATTGCAATATAATATTATATCATGACACATCTATTACCGCTTGATTGTTAAATATTTTGTTATCATCCACTCTACAACTTTTAAAGCTTGGTCCCCTGTAAGTGTAAACTTCTTTTATACATACATAATGTCATAGGAAATTAAGAATTTGCTCTTATTCTGTCAAGTTTTAAAGTTACACTTAAAATGACAATTTATTATAATTTGTTTAGCTTAACCGAAGTTGGAAGATCAGTAAAACTTGTATGAATATCTTTTTATATTAGTTGCGTACATTCTGGAAGTGCATGTTTTGTTCTTTTGGGTTGAGGGGTGGGGGGGGGGGGGGGGGCTGCATTCATGAGAGCATTAAGAAAAAAAATATTCAAAATGCATGGTACTCATTTCTATGTATTATTGTAATAATTACTTGACAAACAATGATGTTCAGATTATTTTTTGTATGAAAAATAACAGAAATATGAAATTATAAGATATTAAGTGACTGTCATTTGTATATACTTCTTGACAGACATTAGACAATATGACATTTCAAACAGTCTAAAATAAATATTGAAAATTAAGTTGTATGCTTTCTATTTCTGAGTAGTTGGTAATACCCACTGAAGATATCAGCATTCTATATTGTTTGAGTCTTAATTTACTCTAAACTGATTTATAATACATTGTAATGCCCCAGTTCCTCTACAAATTTTGTATCAAGGTAAGGGGTTTTCCCTTAACTAAGAAGATAGTATCCTTGCCTGAAAGCAAATATCCCTTAGCAAAATTCAAACTCGAGGAGAAAAGGTGCAAGTGTCTTTGTGGAAGAGCCTGTCGGCTGTGGCAGTGGGAGGTGGATATTGTTTTGGCGTTGCCCATCCATCCATCATTCTGATCTTAGGGGATAGACAAAATCTATCGGGGGGTTTCATACAAACTTTACGGGAATGGTCAGTACCGAGCTTAGTTGTGCATATCATCGCATTTTCCAGTTTAATGATTTTTGTCAGAGTTATGGCTTTTTAATGATTTTTATTTTAAAGTTTGTCTGGACGACTTCTTTTATACTTCTAATTCAATTTGAATGAAATGTATCGGTACCTCAAGTACTAAGGCACATTAAACAGGATTTTCGGTTGAGTTTTTTATGCAGAGTATTGAATGGCCCTTGAATAAAAGATGTTTTGGTCCATTCATGTTTTTTATGATGCCCACTACTCAGAAGCTATGACTTGCTATAAAGAAGCTGCTACTGAGTTATTGCCCTTGAATAAAAGTTGTTTTGGCATGTTAATAACTTTTGTGTTGCCTGGGGTTCAATGATATTTGTCAGAGGTATGGCAATTGACTGATTTTTAGCTTGACTATTCGAAGAATATGAGAGCTATTGTAGTCGCCCTGGCGTCCGCGTCTGCGTTGGTTAAAGTTTTTTGTAAAGTCAAATATCTCAATTATTGCTTGAGATATTCAATTGAAACTTACAATACTTATTCATAGTAACAAGGTTCATCAGATTGACAAGTTGGATAACTCTGCCTACAATATTGACAGAATTATGCCCCTTTTTAACTTAGAAATTTTGGTTAAAGTTTTTTGTAAAGTCAAATATCTCAATTATTTCTTGAGATATTCAATTGAAACTTACAATACTTATTTATAGTAACAAGGTACATCAGATTGACAAGTTGGATAACTCTGCCTACAATATTGACAGAATTATGCCCCTTTTTAACTTAGAAATTTTGGTTAAAGTTTTTTTGTAAAGTCAAATATCTCAATTATTGCTTGAGATATTCAATTGAAACTTACAATACTTATTTATAGTAACATGGTACATCAGATTGACAAGTTGGATAACTCTGCCTACAATATTGACAGAATTATGCCCCTTTTTAACTTAGAAATTTTGGTTAAAGTTTTTTGTAAAGTCAAATATCTCAATTATTTCTTGAGATATTCAATGAAACTCACAATACTTATTTATAGTAACAAGGTACATCAGATTGACAAGTTGGATAACTCTGCCTACAATATTGACAGAATTATGCCCCTTTTTAACTTAGAAATTTTGGTTAAAGTTTTTTGTAAAGTCAAATATCTCAATTATTTCTTGAGATATTCAATGAAACTCACAATACTTATTTATAGTAACAAGGTACATCAGATTGACAAGTTGGATAACTCTGCCTACAATATTGACAGAATTATGCCCCTTTTTAACTTAGAAATTTTGGTTAAAGTTTTTTTGTAAAGTCAAATATCTCAATTATTGCTTGAGATATTCAATTGAAACTTACAATACTTATTTATAGTAACAAGGTACATCAGATTGACAAGTTGGATAACTCTGCCTACAATATTGACATAATTATGCCCCTTTTTAACTTAGAAATTTTGGTTAAAGTTTTTTTGTAAAGTCAAATATCTCAATTATTGCTTGAGATATTCAATTGAAATTTTAAATACTTTTTTATAGTAACAATGTACATCAGTTTGCAAAATTGCATAACTCTGCCTGCAATATTTGCAGAACTATTTGCCCCTTAAATTTGAAACTTAGAAAGTTTTGGTTAAAGGTCTTCAAAGATATTTACTTGAAACTTTACACATGTACTTAGGGTCATAATTTGAGGGTCATAATTGTATGTCACTGACCAAGTTCCATAACTCTATCCTGCATTAAGGCTGATTCATATCCCCTTTTCTACTTAGTCTCTTGGTTAATGTTTACATGCAAGTTTTACATATCTCAATAACTATTAAAGATATTTATTTAAAACTTCACATATGCATTTAGGGTCATAATTGTAGGTCACTGACAAAGATCCATAATTCTATCTTGCATTTAGGCTGATTTTTCTCCCCTTTTTCAACTTAGAAATTCATGGTAAAGTTTTGCTTGTAAGCCGTTATCTCTATAATTACTGAAGGGTTTGTGCCTTTTTTGGGACAATTATATGCATTCATAATAATAAAGCAGTGATTTACTTGATAAAACATCTTAATAACAAGCCTTTGTACCTTTTCTGTCAATTTTATGTATTCATAGGTAATTAGTATTATTATACTCAATAAAACACCCTTGTGACATTACCTTCCGAATAGTCAAGCCAATACTGTATAATTAGACTGTCTCTAAGGCCTATAACATGAATTTATAAAAAAAAATTAGCCCTTTTGTGAACTTAGAAAATTTAACATTATCAAAGCTCTAAATTTTACGTTATCAAGGCTCTTTTACTATCAAGCACTTAGAATAGTCGAGCGTGCTGTCCTACCGACAGCTCTTGTTATTTCTCAAGTTTCTTCGCACTTCTTCTCTCATACTGCTAATGCAACTGGAATGAAATTTTACAGGATAAATTGGTACCTCAAATACAAATGTACTTTCACATATTTCACAGGTTTTTCGGTTGTCCGATTTTTTAACTGTCCAATCACAATTCTCAATACAACTGCTTAATTGGCGGTCATCAGGCTGTCATTTCTCTTGTTTCAAAAAGGAGTTACATGTAGTGTTGCCTTGCACTGGTTGGACCATTCAAATTATAGTTATGGCCTGAATAGTTTTGCTGTAAGTTAACAGGATAACCTTTTTTCTGCACAATTATTTAGCAAATGCTTACTGGAATTCAACAAAATTTTATGGGAACCATCAATACGAAAAAGAGATGGACATATCATTGGCATGTCCCAGGCAGACCAGTTGACATGTTAACGAGTTATAGCCCCTGAAATCCGTTAAGCAGTTGGCAAGAGAAAGAACAATATATACACACCCACACAAGGCCACCAGCAAAGCAGAATTTATATGACCTTTTTTAGCAATGGATTACAGGTAAGCGATCTTTCGTTATTTTTTAATGTCATTTCGCAGCATTAACCATACTGAATGATTCTTTAAATTTGTAGAAAGTCACTAACTGTTCGCTTCTTGTCTCTAAATACAAGAAAGCAAAAAAGATGTCGTATTGGTTCTTTCTAATCTTTCTGGTAGTTTCAGTACTTTGTGTCAATACCGCATAAACTTTATAAATGCAAGCCTTCAGAGACTCGGATCGTAATATGATGACATTTTCAGCAATTTATGAACATACACACTATTTAAGCAATGTTTTGATACACACTACTTGACAAAAACATTTTTTATTCAGCATTGTTACTGGAAAAGTCACAGGTCAGTAGTAATTTCTATAACGTTATGATAATTTGCCCTTATCCGGACAGTCAATCGCAGGTCATGCTTGTGGTGGACAGCTGCTAGCCTTAAGTTAAGCTCTTCAACGTGCACTTGATATACTATCATGTAACTATGATATGACGTGAACGCTAAAGAAAGACCGGTGGGGGAAATGTAATCTTGCCAGGTATCTGATAAGCTCATATTCATTTATCAAGCATGCCATGTAGTTAAGTGAAGCATATGCCCATTAAACTAGGCACTCTCCTGGAGTAGACACAGTGTTGCATCTAGAATTTCAAAATTATGAGCGATTGTCCCCCACTCAACTGAAAAAAGTGGGGGATTTGAAAAAAAATGTGGGGGACATACATTTACCTTACAATATGACATACCGAAAAGAATTCATTTATTTTACATTTAGGCACTTTTGACAGCTATCTTCTGCTCAACAAAAGAAAAAGAAAAAATGAAAAAGATCTATTGACGAATACTACAAACATATGCAAGATGATCCAGTCCGCTGATACACGCAATTTAGTATGTATTTTAGTCATTACCACAAGTGAAAACAAACATGGCTGAAACTTACAAGATACGATGAAGAAAAACTGAATTAAGTTGAAAAGATTGTCAGATGCACGACTTGGCGCGCATTGACTTCATCAAAATGCGCGATCTGTATGAAATATGCGCAAATAGCGCAATCGCAGGGCCTAGATGCAACACTGTAGACACCAGTAGTAAAACTTGTATTTAATGAACTAAAGGAAATGGAATTAACCTTATATATACTCCTGGTTTAGACCCCGGAGTCTATCCTGAAATGATGCATCCTATAATCTGTTGATAAGCCTACCGTCGACTTTGAAAAAACTTATTAATACGACCATGAACTACCTAATAGATTTGGACAGGTAAAAATAAAATTCTGCACTCGGCCACAATCTTGCCAAAATATTTGACGTGATTACGAGATTGATTTTTCCTGGTCATTCGGCACAGACAGTTTTAAAGATCAGTTATGGCATAACACCTTTTTAATACCTGTGAACAGTCTTCATGTCTTTTTATGGCACCATTCACAAATGAAGAAAAATGCAGCAATTGTGGTTGAATTGACAGGATTGAGGTTTTAGCAGATCACTGATGTCAAAACTTTCAGTAACATAAAACGCAACAGGTAAATATGCCTGCATAAAAGATAACAGAGCTGGTAAATTCCTGCAACATAGCAATGAGTCACTGAATTTGCAAATTATCTCATTGTCTTGTATCATTTTACAACATGCTTACTCAAGTATTTTTCTTTAAGTTTGTTAATTATATCTCAAGTTTATGCTTAACAAACATTTCTTTGCACACAATGAATTTTTAAGTCACTGATTAGAACTGCATGTTTTTAATTTTGTTCCAGGTTTAAAATGGCAACCAGAAGATCCAGACTACAGGTCAAACCAAATATCCTTGGGGGGCCTAAGGGACCAGGACAAAAATCAGTGCCAAAGCCATCTGGTAAAGACTCAAGTAAAGAAAGTGAGGCAGGAGCAGAAACTGACATTAGCAAGCACACCAAAAAGGACAGTTTTATAAACCCTCCAAATGAAAATAGTAGTAAAGAAGAGGCTGAGAAAGTTGAATTACAGACAACAACTGTTAATTCAGATATAAACAAAGATAAATCTGATGGTAAAAATCTTGAAACAGAAAGTAAAAGTGCCAATGTCAACAATACTGATATACCAGCGCTGCCAACAAGAGCAAGACTAAGGAAGTTTGGAAAAGTTAATATTTCTGCTGCTAGAGGCACTAAGCCTGAACCACAGGTGGCAAAAGCTTCTGAAGTACAGCCTAAAGAAGATAAATCAGAAAATCATGAGTGTAAATTAGACAGTGTGAAAAATGAAGGAAAAGAAGAAACTCATATAGAAAAGAACAATACAGATGATGGATCTAAAACAAATTCAGTTATACAGAGAAGGTCAAGGTTTCCCAAGGCAAAACCTAACCTTGCTGATGCAGGTAGAAGGAGAATAAAGTAAGTACTGAAGTGAATTTTATTTTTATAGGAACCCCCAAAAAAATTAAAATTTGTACATCTCTTTGAAAACTCATTTGTTTATGTGCAAAGTACATGTATTCTCCCATTTTAAAATGTAGACTAATTATTGCTCAAGTTAAGTTTAAATGACTGTTACCTTAGTAAATACTGTAGAAATTGAAATATATTAATCTAAAAGACTACAATAATTTACGCATATTTACATTTGTAAATTTTTTCTGACCCTGTGACATACAGAAAACAAAAAGTACTTAAAAATAATACACTCAGATTTGGTATATCCAAGTGACTGAAGGGAATGGATTGATACTTCACACATTTGAGCCGTGTCATGACAAAACCAACATAGTGCTTTTGCGACCAGCATGGATCCAGACCAGCCTGCGCATCCGCGCAGTCTGATCAGGATCCATGCTGTTCGCTATCAGTTTCTCTACTTGTTATAGGGTTTGTAAGCGAACAGCATGGATCCTGATCAGACTAGCGCGGATCCGCAGGCTGGTCTGGATTCATGCTGGTCGCAAACGCACTATGTTGGTTTTGTCATGATGCGGCTCATTTGTTCTCTGTGATTACATGTATCTAACATACTGGATATGGGTCTCAAAACTCTTAAAGTTACATTAAATGAATTACTTAAAAACAGAAATAGCGACATTTCATTAGTAAATTTGGTTTTATATCGACTCCAGATCTTATTATGGTGTCAAGGCAACCAAAATGAGTTTTATAAGCATAAAAATCTGCGACCTCATTGTGGCGAAATCGGAATTTGCATCAGAAACTCCGCCTTCGGGTCATCCGTACATCAATATTAAATCAACAAACATGGTTATAAGTAGCAGTCCTAATATAACGGTATATTTACGCATTGTAACGGTTGTTTTCATACAAATTTAATATATTTATGAGATGATTACTCCTTCCTGAACGCCATGCCAAGTGCACTGTGAAGCTAAAACGGTTAAAGTGTGTATGCACATGAAAATCTCGTATTTGCTGTGTTCTGTATAGCAACTATAACACTGTGACATAGCACATACATGAACTGATTATAGTCTTCATTTGCATGTTAAAATTCGTATACGAACTTTAGTGTTACCGTGGGGTTTTCCGTTTAAAATCGTAATTTATGAACAATATTTGATGAGATTTTCAACAAGACTGTTAAAAAGGTTAATAAAACAGTAGAATGCTTGGTTATTCGGCCGACGGCAAAATATTTTTACATATTCATTTAATGTAACTTTAAGTTACCTGTTAACAGAGTAATGCCTCTTTTATACTGTCAGGCACTGAGAATAGTTGAGCATGCAGTCTTACTGATGGCTCTTAGTAGCTTTATTTTTCATCTCCATACTTATTTGATATTGAATTATTCATATCTTCTCAAGTAGAGATTACAAAATGTCTTGAATGCCGAGTACGTACATACATACATATATAAAAAAAAAACATTATATTTTATTTACAGGGAACCAGCAAACAAAGAAGAAGCATCAAATGCTAGGTATGTGATTATTTTACTGCTGCCTATACAATAATCTGTTAGATTCAATTTTATAAATTTTATTGTTGATTTACAATAAAATTGAATTTAAGATTATATCAAAAAACTGTTGAAAGTAAGTCTGTAGTATTTACTGGAGAATTTCTTAAAGCAAACTTTATAAAGAGGTCATTAAATATTATTATTAAGTTCACTTTTAAATTTTCAATTGGTAAGTTTATGTGTAACCTTTCTTTGTTCAGTGTCATCTTTTTAAGATCAAACTTTTTGCAAAGTTTTTTATGGGAAACATTACTTTGTTCCCTTTAGTGTCAGCGAGTCACCAAAGAAAATTCCAGAGATACTTGTGACTGAACCATCCATACAGGAGTTGAAGGCTAACAAGAACAAACCAGAGACCTCAGAATCATTACCCAGCACCCCTACCCTGACACAGCTACAGCCAAAACCTCCAGCAACTCCCATTAGTAGTATACTGAAGTCTCCATTAAAACACCCTACACCAACGATTCCAGTGTCACCAGAAAAGAGGGCCAGGACATTAAGTACTTCAGAGGTACATATAGTCTCTCTGCAAGACATTGTATATTTTTTATTTCAACAAAAAAATAGGGCAAAACTAAAATTTTGAAATAATATTAAATAAATAGAGACGCTGTATTGACGGTATATATTGATGGAATTGGTGTATAGTTTATATGTATGTTACAGACTGATCAATATTTAGCTTTACTGTTTGAAAAATAAGGGAGTTTGAGTAACACTTGATTATGGTTTTCGAAGGAACCTTTTTTTATTTGTTTGTATTTGCTTGAAATTTCACAGCTGTCTTCTTAGTCATATTAACTGTAGATCAATTGTATGTCAAGTTATACTATTTTGGGAATTATACCACATGTTGAAAAAATCCAGGTTAATAGTTTTGCATGCAATTTCTGTCTTCACAAGACATACTAAAGCACTCATGTCTTAAGAGTAATAATTGTAAATAACTGACCAAAACCCATAAATCAGTATGATTATTTTTTTACCAGAAATATGCAAAGTATTTTTAAACATAGGAAAATCCTTTGTAATGCTTGTTTTCCAATTAATAGGCAAAAAAGACATGAGTGCTGTCACATTGTTTTTGTTATATTGAATTCACTAATTTGACATTGGGAAGTTCCATTCAAAAGCAGAACAAGACCATTACCAGATTTAGAAGTGTTATTTAATTTCACCACCTTGGTGAACATTTATGATTATATATTTCATATCAGTAAATATGATTGTTTTACAGCCACCGGTTGTGAAACGGCAAAAGAAGCCAAAGGTGACTGCACCAACAGACCAACCACCTGACCGAACAACTATGAAAATGAAGGACCTTATACGATGGAATCCATCCAACAATCCTATGAAGTAAGTACCTACAAATGTATTACCTCTACTTATTAAAGGTTCCATTGGAACCTTATTAATGGAACCTTTAGTGCCTCTGTGGCAGAGTAGTTAAGGCTGTTGACTTCAAGCTTCTTGCCTTTTACCACTGTGGGTTCAAATTCTGACAGGACTTTGGATTCTTTCATGTTAGGAAGCTATCCAGCTAGCTTACTGTGGTTCTACTCAGGTGCCCATTGGTGCGTGAAATTATACACGGAAGGACAGCTGTGGTCTTCCTGCACCGTTAAAGCTGGAAAGTCACCAAGTTACTTACACTTCCTTGTTGTGATGTAAAACCAAACCAAAGAAAAATGGAACCCTTACTCAAGAGGGCTTTTATACAAAGGAAAAATCAGACCGATTTTATTTTAGGGACTTAGAATTCCTTTATATGAGTAAGCAAACCAGCTAGCTTACAGAAGTGCGGTGCTAAGACTTATGGAAAGTTGCAATATGCCTTAACAGTGTCAGTGTGACTTAAGATCTGATCAAATAAGAAGGACACCTTATTTTAAGTATGGTGTCAGATGTATATATAATTTATATAATAAAACATATCTTCATTTTATGAATTTTAATGTTTGACAACGTTCTATTTATGAGATATGACTTTCATAAAAAAATGTTTTATAATATACATGTACCACTCATTTGAAAAAAAAAGCTCTACAATATTCCTACTAGCAGCAAATGATTTTAGTCATTCGTACCATCTGATAGTAGTATGCACTGTTCTAATCCTTATTCAGTCACTACATACTTTAAAATATCTCTTAAAAGATAATTGTTTTTTTTTTACAGATAATGATTAAAAGATGGACGATACGAGTTCACTCAAAATGTTTTACATTTTAGGGGTTAATAAACATAAAGTGATAGAAAGTCTGGTTGCTTAATGTGAAAAATAAAAACTAAGCCTTAAAAGTGAAATTTCTTAACCCTTACTCATTTGGGAAAGAAAGGTGTTGAGTTTCTGCCACCACTATAGAGCTAGGTTAGCCTGCACATATGTACAGTCTGAGCAGGCTCTATACTGTTGGCTGACCATCTTTGTTGTTATTTGTCTGAATAAGTTTGTGCAAAATATTCTTACTCAAACATCCAAGTGTCTGAAATATTAATATATACTCACATTTATTTCAGACCAAAGATTAAGACTGGGACAGCTACAGTTGCCAAAGCTGCAGAGAAAGAGAATGTGGAGGAAGAAGTTGATACCGGAGAGAAAGTTGTGATAACAGAAGTGGAGAAGGAACCTGAACCAGAAGATGATGCATTACCTGTTCCACAAGTCACCATAGGACCTGACGGAAATATAGTTATTAATGAGAAAAGGTAGATTTTATAATGCAATTTGAGTGTGTTGTGTGTGTGAATTATATAATGTTTATATACAATGTAGTTATAAAGTATAAAACTTATTTTATATGAAAAGTCACCTATAAAGAAAATGAAGTAAAAGCAAGTCAGTATGATGTAGGAATGCTGATGTTATGAAGTAAACATTTTTTGGACTAAGTTTAGGCAAATGTAACTTTTCTTTGTATAAGACAATTAGGTATAATATTTTGTAAATACATTTATTTTTTTTGTGTCTAAAAACATTTTTTTCACAATCATATATATATCAAAGAAATTGCTAGGAATTTCAGATAAAATGCCGATACTAAATCTATAAAGTTTTTCCCACCAGTATAGTGCTATGCCAGATTGCATATCCATACAGTCTGATCAGGCTATATATTAATGGTAAACCAACTTTCAGATTTTCATCATGATATACATTTTTATTAATAAAGGATAAATTTAAAGTGACATTATGCTCATTTTCTGCTGTCCAGTTGAATGAGCAATATATTTCAAAAGACATAATTTTATAATGGTTATTGAGAGCAATAATCAATAGTGAAAAATTATACGGATAAATATTAAAACTATGTAAATTATAAAAAAAAACTGCCCACTCTCTTTTTTAAAAATGAATGTTGCCGATTCATTCAGAAAGATATTTATAGAATTTTCATATATCACATATATTATTGATTAATTTTCCGTAGTAAAGTATAGAATTGAACACAATTATGGCAAATTGTAAAGTTATTTTGACTTTTACCTGCCTACTCACAATTTACACTTGAATGGGTATAATGTCACTTTAAAATTAGGCAGGTCTTTATAGAAAAATGTAGCAGGTAACTGATGTTACTGAACTGTTTAACAATGGAACAATCAGAGAAGCCTATTCAATTAATTCAGCAGTCAAAAGTGGTTTTTTATATATAATTTTTGCATTCAAGGATTGTATATTATGATACCTGTAACATGTTTGTAACAACATACATATAGTCTCTTATAATTTTAAATAAAAATGACCATTTACATGTATTTTAAGTTTATTTGAATGTGTATAATTTGTATTACAATGTATATGTACATGTATTTGATGAGACTTAAATAAACTTAAAAACTACTAAACTAATTCATTGCTCAGTTTTGTGTTGCTTGTTTTTGCAGTTTGATAGTAAAAGGTCCAGATCTGGATAAGGAATCCAACAAGATAAATGACATTATCGATGAGACAGATATGTTCACAACATATGGCAGCTTCAGAACAAGACATCGGTCTAAAAGATGGACAAAAAAAGGTATCAACCAAGTGAAATTATAATCAACTTTTATATTATTTGTATAGCAAGGTTTAAGCTTGTAGTATGAAATATTAGTTCGAGGAAATTATACTTAGTAAGGACACTGACATCAAAATACTTTGACTTTGATAAAAAAGGGTTTAAACCTGCTAGGAAATTTGAATTTTTTTATGTGAGGAAGGGTAGCTAAGAGAAGGTGTGCAGCACTAAACAACACAAGTCCTCCATTGTGCTTGAAATAATGCATTGAGAATGTCTTCCACAACCTGTAAAGCTGGAAAGTTAACATAAGATCTTGACAGTTTTTGTTTGATTTAACCCGTTACTTCATGAGCATTTTGTAAAAAATGGCTAAAGAGGGGGGGTCGAAAGTGCGTTGTTTCGCGTATATATGAGGTAAAGGGTTAAAGCCCAACAATAAGAGTTAAAATATGGAAGCTGTTATATTATATTTATTTACAATCATGACAATATTTTTAGACTGAAATCAAAATCTGCTATGTTATAAATGCTCAAAAACTATAATTTCATGTATTTGTTTTGTTGACATCAGTTTGAAGAAAAGAGCTGAACTTTTTGAATGTTTTGATTACTCTTTTTTACAAAAAGTATATGATTTTATTTACAGAAACCAAGAAATTTTACAAAGCACTGGCCATGATTGGTATAGACTTCTTTCTAATAAATCAACTTTTCCCAAACAGAACTAGGCTTGAAATTAAGGTAAGACTACATGTGTGTTGGAAGATTAGATAGAAATAGTACCAGGAAAGCAGTGGCCTTGTTTTAAAGGTGTCTACCTCTAAATTCAGGAATTATGGTTTCGGACCCTACTTTGATCGCAACTATGTTGTCTCATTTAAAGCAGCATGCCATCATATACATTCTAATTTTCATGAAAATTTTGAAAATATATTTTAAAGTAAAACATTGTGAAGTCAAGAAAGATAGTAGTCTATACATTGCAAGCAGAGCTTACAATCCACATAAATTTAACATAAATTTAAATAAAGAAATGTCTGAACACATAAACAAAGGTCAGAATAAGCAAAAATAGCCAATACTGCATCAGTCATGCAGTGGAAGTATGGTGATTAATACTGCAAAGTACATATCATGTAATTTATTACTTTAATCATTTTCTTTTTTATAAAATCTTAGTGCATTTTGTTTGATTTTGATTTTGATTTTCTTGAAATATTTTGGCTCACCTGGAGGCATGCGGCTTTAACATCAATATGTGATAGGCTAGCTGGCAAGAAGTTCAATTAATCTTCTTCAAGCTTGCATCACATTCAAGCTGAAATAAATGTCTATTATAATGAACATGTAGAAAATATGTAGAAATATGTTCAAAGTTTAAGATCGAAAGACATACATTTATCAATTTAGTCAAGTTTTAAATTATCCATGTCTTTAGATAGTAAGATAAAAATGAGATGACATTAGTTTATCATTATGTTACTGCAAAGACTATAAAGGCTCATTATGCCTCAGAAATTCATATTTTTTAAATTCTTTAGAAATGTCAAATATGTGTTAAATAATGTCTTATAATGGATTAAGAGTATGTTACATGTTTTACAGATGAAGAAAGTAGCACAGAATGTTTAGTAATGTGTCATTAAGGTAGCAAAATGTAAACAAAGTATTATTTTGACTTCCATACAAAATACTTATTCACTATAAATAGGAATTGCCGACAAAGCAAAACGAGCAATGATAGCTAGTTTATCTATATATGGCATATGAGTATTTTTTGGAAACTGTAACAAGATACCAATAATGTAAAGTTTTTGTGAAATAAAAATGATAGAATTTCTGAGTCATAATGGGCCTAATGATAGAACTTCTGAGGTATAATGAGTCTTTGAGGTCATATTTATTTGGGTTGGTTTTGTGGGGGGTGGGGGTTACATTTTGCTGGTATCTTGTTTACTGATGCTGTATGTATCATGTCCAAAGTTAATCTGATTTATTTTTGCAGAAAAAATTCAAGAAAGAAGAGAAAATCAACAAAGCTTTAGTGGACAAAGTTCTGAGTAAGCATTATCTTTTCTTGTAAAAATTTAATACTGTAATTCTGATAACTTGCATATCTTCCTTTTTAAATTTCTTTACTGAATTCAACTTAAGGACTAGTGCCAAAATTAATATTAATGGGGAAAACCTTTAAAATACCTGCTTTATGCCTTCTTTTCACACATTGTCCATTTATTTAAAAAAATATAAGTTATAGCAGTAATACATAATGTTTCATAACAAATTTGGATTCTACAAGTATTATTAACACTATGCTGGTTTTTTAGTTTCTTACATTTAAGGACAACGTGTCACTTACTATTTCAGTTAAACAATAGCCATACACCAAGTAAAACAAAAAGCACTGAATGCTGAAGGATAATCTGGTCTTATTTGAATGTTTTTGAGGCTTAAAATGTACACAAATTAGGGGAGTTTTTGTGTTGTTGATTTTTTAGCATAACACTGTTCATAAGTTTCTACTCAAGTTTGTATCAAAACTTAAAAGTCTTGACCCCGCCTTCAATGGGGCCATTGTTTTACCTATTATGTATACTGTAAAAACGTTAAAAATCTTCTTTTAAAAAACGCAAAGGCTGGCTTAAGATATTTAGCATAAGTAACATCTTTCATGGGTTCTGCCATAGTATTGTTCAATCCATGGTTACCCTAGTAGGTTTTGAGAAATTCAAGGCACTGCGGAGAAAGTCCATTGGTTTATGCCTATATTAGTAATATGTTAAAGTATTTTATCCAAAATTTCCATCTTTACTTTATGAAGTAATAATACAAAAGACTATGGATATTAATATAAGCATGAATATTTCCATTGTAGTGTTACCAAGAAATTTGTTCAAATAAAATGTCCTGGGTCATATAATTGGACTGTCATATTTAAAATCATGTAATCATCTAATAGGTTTCCTTACCAAAGTTTGCTTCAAATAAATCCTTGGTTAAATTGGCCCGCCCGGGGGCCTATATACAGGTGAGCAAGTTCAGGGCCATCATATCTCTCTTGTTTTAAGCATAAATTGGCCTTAAAGATTGCAATCCAAAATAAGTCATACTAGTTTATTTTTGCCTGCCTTTTGTTCATCTTTCATTTCTTACTAAAAAAAATATTTTTTATCATTACAGAAGAAAGGATCAATTTTGACCCGACTGTATTTGATGCTTGTGACAAATCTTCAGATGATGATGATGAAGATGAAGGTACAAAGAAAAAGGAAAAGAAAAGAAAGGCAAAGGAGCAGAACAATACAAAAACTTCTGCCTCAAAAAGAGCAAGTAAAAGTAAGATCTTACAAGTGCTCTATCTTTTACTTTGCTAGTTTGTATAATTGGTCTCGCACAGTTTTGATTTTAGACTGGTTTTTGTTGTTTTTAACATATTTCCTTATCAAAATGTAGTAAATTGAGAAGCTAACAGTGTAGAGTCTGTTCAGATTGCAGACAAATGCAATTAGACTCGACTCTATATAAGCTTTTTATCTGACATGGGCCAATTTTTAACAACTTATCATGTTTAGGATAATAACATTCATACTTCAGTTTTAGCTCAACTTTTGGAAGAATAGATAAAGTTATTGTACTCACCCCGGCAATCATATTTTGGTTAAGTTTTTGCTTGCAAGTTGGTATCTTCAAAACAACTAAAGGGAATAGGTTGAAACTTCACACACTTGTTCTCTGTGCTTATCAAACATGATTGGCACAGATCCCATATTACAGAGTTATGCCCCTTTTTCTTACTGTCAAACACTGAAAATAATCAAACAAACAGTCTAACAAATTCATCACATTTTATCAAAAATTTAGGCAAGCTTTTTTCTGTGAAAAGGGATTTTCTAAAGCTTGATTTTCTGTTGAAGTAAATTTTTCCCATGGGCTACTTTCTTGTGCCTTTTATAATTTGAAGGAAATATTCTGTAGCTTTCATTGCATGGAGCTGTACCCTTAGTAGGTGTTTGATGTTCAAGGTCACTGTGAAGTAAACTGTTTCTCCTTGTGTTTAATTGCCACATATTTTACATATATATGTTAAAGTTATCTTGATTCGAAATCTTCCAATTTCTTTACCATTTCAATGAAGGGTAATAAATAAAAAAAATCATCATGAATATTAAAGATGAACTGTGGAATTGACATTTACGGTTACCATATAAATTTGTTATCCGAAAATATATGTACATTGTATTTAGATTAACTGTATGCATTTAAAATTCTTGTTAAAACTATTACATAGAAGTTTGGCATGTAATACTCTCGATGTTGGTCAATTCTTTACAGAATATCTATTACTAGGATAACAGACTTTTTTCTGTTCTGTATATTAATACAAGCCCTTGTGTGTATACCCTTAGCTTTGATAAATTGGGGGCATGATATTTTATTCATTTTATTCTTTTTTCTCTATCAAGTCAATGTCAAATTATCCTAATTCAGGAAATTTCACCATTAATTTGTTATTTTTGACTTGAGGGATTTGTATTTTGTAACAGTTCATGTTGTTTTACTAAATATTTCCCTGACTTATTTAGTTTTAATTTGTTTTACTAAATACTTACTTCCTTAATTTATATTTTAATTTAGGAAAGAGAGCCAGGAAAAATTATTTTGAAGATGAATCAACTACAGATGAAGATGAGGATCTTACACCAATAAAATCCAGCAAAAGGTTCTCCTTTTATATACACTTTGATTAGTCTGTCCAATTGGGAGATAGCTAAACACCTCAGAAATTTGATAGATTGAGACCTAGGCTTTGAATGTGTTTTGATGACTCTTACTGAAGAGGGGGAGATATCTGGAGAGCAGTTAAAAAAATGGAAACACGTACTGGACAGCGCTTTTTTCCTTCTATTGCTGGGGCTGTTTAAGGGCTGCTTCCCCATAGATATGTTTCATAAAATCATACAATATTCCCCAGGGCTGCCGATTTTCCGCGGATCCGCGGATGCGTCAAAATGTCGGATATTTGTCAAATTAAGAGTCCAGGAAATTGATTTTAGGGCATACCAAATCATCAGAATCCAGGAGCTTTCGGGGGCAGGGCTGCTTCCCCAACCTATTAAAAAAAACTCCCAGCTGGATGTATCTTCATTATCTTAAAGACATTTTATGTTAAAAGGAGATTCATATTGATGTGGTAGTTTAGAGGATTATTTTATTTAAATACCATGTTTTTTTACTGTTACAGAATCTTTGAATATCTTTTACGTTACTTGGTGTAGTTGCATTAAATAACTGTCCCCAAGACTGTACAGTTCTCATATACTGTTGCAAACCTGTAATGCTGTCTGTCTTGTTTGTCTGTATACAGACAAAACAGTGAGCTGTGGGTGATAGGGGGGCACCTGTGACCTATGGTTTGATTTGAGATTGTCATCTAGTTAGCTTATAGAAGATTTTCATTTACTTATCTACTTGTTATTATGCACAGTATGCACTAAAGGTCTCATTTAACAGGAGCATCCATGGCTGAGTTGTTAAGGTCCTTGACTTCAAACAACTTGCCCCTCACTGCTGTGGGTTTGAATCCCGTCAGGGACTTTGATTATTTCATGTATGGTGTAAGAAAGCTAACCAGTTAGCTTACGGAATGTCAGTGGTTCTACCCTGAGATTTTCTCCGCAGTTACCATATAACCTATACACTGTGTTAGTGCGGCCTAAACCAATCAAAAAAAGAGTAGTCTCATTTTGCATTACGGTGAAATTTCAAATCTTGTTATCCAAATTTGTTTAAAGGTCTAATTTTCACTCAGTACTCCTTATTATTAATTAAGGGAAGAAACAGTGAAAAGATTATTAAAGATATTGAATTGATTCATTCAACTTAAAAATATGTTTTGTATTTCAGAAATTCTGGTCCAACTGTGTCACAGAAAGATGGTGAGGTTGTTGACATTCTGATGGACATGAGTAAAGGTCGTATCCAAGGTGAAGGTTATAATTCTGGTAATCTGGATATGTCAGAGAAACTTACGGCTGTTCCAGCAAATAAAGTACATAAACGTGGTTCTTTTATTCCTATAGAAGCCAGAACGCCAAAATTGGGGTCACAAAATAACCAGAATGTCAGTGTTGAAAATGTCCCCGTTAATATTCCAGGTATTCAAAGTATCAGTATTATGCAACCCCAGAAAATAGGGGCAGGATCTTCTGTTAAAATACCTGTATTTAACTCAGGAAGTAGTACATCATTGAATACAGGTTCAATTAATCAAACTATAAATTATTCTAATTCTGAAAGGTCAGAAAGGCGTATTTACATACCTGATTTGAACAAAACGTATTCCTCACCAGTTCAGTCAAATATTCAGAGGAGTAACAGTGAGTTTAATCAAGTGCAATATAACCAGATTGGAAATGCGCCTTTAGCAGAAATTGGAGGCAGCTCTAGTCATATACTTCCAGGAACCAGTCTAACTCATTTAAATCAAGCAAGGAGTCAGTTACAAACTGTAACCAGTCATAATCAATTACAAGAAGAAACCAGTCAGAGTCAGTCACAACAAGAAACAGGTTTCACTCAGTTACAGCCGGGAACCAGTCAGAGTCAGTTACAGCAACTGCAAGTGTTAAATACAATGCCAGTCAATGATAATTCCCAGCTTAGCTCTGAAGATGCAGACCAGTATGTATTAGTTACTGTAATGCCTGAAGGAGGCGGGGAAACAGTTATTCATATATACAGGCTACATGGTGGTGGCCAGACACAAAATCAGGTCGTGTATGCAGACCAGTTTTCCGAACAGCAGATGACATTAGAGAGTGGAACCAGCAATGAACCTTCTGACGGGTCACATGACCAGTCCTCTAGTACTATACCATTTTCAGTCAGTGATTCACAAAAAATTGATACATCCTCAGTTGATTCAACAGTATCAAACATAACGGCTGAAATCATCAGTGATATTTCTAACGCTACAGCACTTCAGTCAGATGTAGCGGACACCTCAGTTGATAGTGAGTTTGTATTAATACGTGAATCATATCTCCAGGACAGCAATGTTACCACACAGTTAGAACCACAATTAACTCCAGACAGTGAAAATGTATTAGCAATACAATCTTATCTACAAGATCAGTCTACAAATAATACAACTTTGAATGAACCGGGTTTACAAAATATTTTAAAAGTTGAAGTTGAGGTTGACACTAAGATTGAGATGAAAGATGAAGTGAGTGAAGAAATTGTGACTCAAGAGGCACAATCTGAACCTAATCTTACAAATTTGAATTCAGATGAAGTTGAAATTGAAAACAGATAGTAAAGGGTTGTGTTTGTGTGAAGATTTGCATTAAAGTTGAAGGCCTCCATGGCCTAGTGGTTAAGGTAACTTTCTTCTGGACCTTGCACCTTATTGCTGTATAGGTCTGGATGAGTTGCTAAAGTAGTCATTATTTTATGTGAGGTTAGCTCCCTTTTCCTTGCTCCATATTCCTGTATGAAATAATTAAAGGTTGCATGGGGTCTCCTGTACAAGTAGCATTAAAGTAAGCAATTATTAATTTTGTCATGTCAATAATTCAAATCAAAATAGAATTCCAGCCTCGTATACTAAATATTATCTTTAAAATATTGCAATTTTCCAAATTTAATTTTCATGTACATTAAACTTGAAAGAAAATTATGAAATTATTTGAGAGTGACATTTTGGTAAAATTATTGTTGTACAATGACTACAATGTGTTGTGTTTGACACTAGTTGATAAGATACCGTTTCATCAACAAGCCTGCCAATGAGAGGAGCTCCACTGAGGTCCAAAAGCCTAAAAACATGAAATTTTTAGTTCTTGAATACATTAACTGGCTCACTTCAAATGGAAAAATAATATGCAAGATATAATAGAGAAATATGCCTTCAATAAATTTAAATCGATATTTTTGTGTGCAATTTTTAGCCAAATTTGGGTTAAAAACATTGCAACTCTTTTTTCTTTGGGTTATTTTAAGCTATAAAAATTAATATTCAGGAATAACAGAGTGAGCAAATGATCTGAAATTTTGCACATAAGTTATTGGTCTAGATCTTCATTAAATGGTACATAAATCTCAACAAATTAAATATTTTCAGTCCCCCATGTAAAAAACACCAGTGGAATCCCTTTAAGGTTATTGATCCCACTGTTATGGGTTTAAAATACACCAGGGACCATGATTTTTTTCTATGTCTGGGGCACCTATGAACTTCCTTCGCCACCAAAAGTTGCCCTGAGAGGCTGTTACATTTATGGTATTGACTATCCATATTAGTAAAATCCCAACCAAAGAAAAAGCTTTATTCTATCAGGGAAATATAAACTATATCAGTCATCGTACTAAATACATCTAGCATTCAATAATATAAAATTATCTCTCATTGATATGGAAAGTACATGTCTTTGTTGTACTTGGAAGTGAAATTTATGTACATTTGTATTATATTTCACTGAGCTAACTGACTCATAAATTCTTTTGTGGAATTTCTGTCTTTAAAATGAGATATTGTCTACAATGGAAAACAATTGTCTACTCTTTTTATATCAAGTACTGTTAACTGCAATGTTATGCTTTTTGTGTCACCTCTACGGAGTAGTGGCGACATATAGGGATCACTTCTCCGTCGTCTGTCCGTCCGTCACAAAACTTGTCCGGACTACTCCTCATAAACTACTGGTGCAATTTCATCCAAACTTTACAAGTCTAGTTGTGCATATTGTCAGCATTTTCCGGTTCAATGATTTTTGTCATAGTTATGGCCCTTTAATAATTTTTATTTTTAAAGTTTGTCTGGACTACTTCTCTTATACTACTAATGCAATTTCAATGAAACTTTTCAGGATTGATCTGTAGCTTGCGCACATTGCACGGATTTTCCGGATGAATGATTTTTGGCCGAGTTATGGCCCTTTGATAAAAAGGTGTTTTTTTCTGTGTGTTGCCAGATACACAAAAGCTTGTCCAGACTACCTCTCATAAACTACTGGTGCAATTTTATCCAAACTTTACAGGAATGATCAGTACCAAGTCTAGTTGTGCACTGTCCGTCTGTCACAAAACTTGTCCCAACATGAAATTGGCCATCATGAGGCGACACATGTGATCACTGATCGCTCTTGTTGTCACTGTGTGACAGCATATCTACTGGAGATAGATTTACATTTGATAAACTGAAATCATTTTAGCCAGTACTGGGTATGTAAGTTTGTTTTGATGGTACTGCTTTAGTATTTTTTAAATGCTTTACCTCTTTGTTCAGCTCACCAGATCACCACCTGCTCAAAATATGCTATTTTAAACACTCTTTGTCAATCAGTCCACACATTTTATAAGGAAAATTTCCCCAAAATCCTTGTGAATTTGTAGTTTTATAGGAATGTTTTTAAGTTTTTCCCTTTCAATAATGTTCAAAAACCATGTAGAAATATCAACTTTTAAAAGAATCGATCTGATTTTGATTTTAATTCACAGAAATTATCCATAGTCTTATTACACCTGTTTGTAGAATAACTAAACTTTCAGGAAAATTATTTTTTTCCAAAGAGAAAAATTGGTAAATCTTTATAAAAAAATCTGTGGCAATATTTTCTTTTCTTTCACAATTCTGATCCTAAAATGAATCTACTTAATTTGATCATCTTTTTTTTTTCTCAAAAAACTAATTGTTATTATGCAGATTTTATTTGTATACCTACCTCATGTGTATTCTATATGAAGGAAAACTTAGTACATTTGTTTTTGTGGTTAATTTTAATATAAATCTATTGTTATTATGGCAATTTAGCATGATAGAACTTCAGATAATGTGATGATATAAGTTTTAAAATGAAGTCTCCAGATTAGTAAAAAATAAAAAAAAATCCTTCAACGTTAACAATAAAAGAAAATCAAAGAAAAATATGTTTATAATTGAAGAAATATATAAATATTTAGAATTAAAGTGTAAATTTTAATGAAATATGCAAGACTAGACAGAATTTATGATTATTTTTATCAACAAAATTCTACCTTATTGCTTATTTTATTGAGTATGAGAAACCTAAGTATGACATTGAAATGTTATTTTCTGAGGAAAGTAATGTATGTATTCTGGGCTTAATGAGAGTCCATCCACCCTTTCAGGCACTGAGAGTACGAACCCTGGACATGTCACCATTCATGTTCTTTGAGGATAGCAAGTGCTTTAGGCTACGTTAAATCTCATAACCTTGACAACATTTTTACTCTCTGAAGATTTTATTATAAACAATATATGTATATGCAAATCTGGAGGCATTCTTTTTTTAAGAAAACAAGAACTAATAGTTCAAGATGAGCCATGAGTATAGACTTGATGCTTGAGGTGGTGATCCCCACTGAAAATGCATGTCTGATTCACTTTAAATTTACTAGGACATATTTTTGTTTGTTCCTCACAAGGTTTTGTTCAACAGTGATTTAAATGTTCATGTCACCTTCATCTTCGTATTACAAAACAAATCCAATTGACTGGATGATATTGGTTATATCTTGTTTTTTAAAGCGTGTAGTAATAGTATAGTTACTTGAATGTATATAAATCATGTTTTCAACGGATGAAACTTAAAAACTGGTTGTTTATAAACTATAGTATACATATATTTATTGTGCACAAACAGTGCTTTTGTTTGAGATACCAAACTAAATAAAATTGTTAAAAACTGCTATTACTCTGTGTGTTATTTTTAGCACTAAGTGCCCAGCGATGAGCTTTTAGGATAGCAAGCTGTTTGTCTTTCGTTGGCGTCAACAATTTCTTTGAAGAACATCTCCTAAACTACTTTTAGGCGTTCACAGGAATGATATTGTGAATGAAGCATCAACTTGCAGTCTTCTACAAAAGTTTACATAGACTTTTATAGTAAACATTTGTTACAAATCTCTGAAAGTACAATGCCCAGAGCTTAGATATTTGGCATGTATTATTATCTTTTGATCCTCTACAAAAGTTATGTCATATCCCTGGGGGTCAAAATTGGCCCTGCACCGGTGGTCTGTTAAGATAAATCTAATTTATGTCAATCGTGACTCCAGAAGAGAATACTAGTAATTTGTCTTGTCTGTACTTAAGAATATAAGTTTCAGCTATTCTATAATTGCAAGAAACGTGTTGCCGGGTTACGGTGTCACGTTTTACACTGAACCACCAGAGCTAAAAGCGTGACATACTGGCCTTGTAGAGTTTAAAATCCTTCCCTTATCTTGATAATGTAAGATCCCCATGCGAATACACGTGTGATTTTTCATCACCTATTTAACTTATTCTGAACTTGTCTCACAATATAAGTGGCATTCGCTTTGGTTCTTGCAATGAACGTATAATATCGTTTGGATGATTATTTAGTGATCAAATGACCATGTTGAAATTATTAGTTTTAGTATGTGTTCTATTAAATTTGGTCTACTGCAGCTCTGTTTTAAGAAGAGTTGGAAGTTTTGATATTAAGCATCCGGCATTTACGACGCTCTATAAAAATTCGGATGTTTCAAATCCAGCTGAAACGTACAATCTGATTATTTCGACATTTTCCGGACCGAGTTTGTTCGGCGGCGGAGATACCGTGCAGCTTGTCCGCAGGGTTGGATCATTTATGAATAATGTCGACGGCATTGTGCCGGAAATGCTGACCAGTCATGTAACATGGCCAAACGAAATTTCCGCTGTACCCGGTTTGTATTACTCCCTATTTTCTCAATTTTATTGCACTTTAATAGTGAACGACACCCTCGGGTATAGGTTGGTTTAAATGTGTATGTATGCAAAATTCTCGAGGGGTTTAGAGGCATGCCCTACATTTTGTTTGTTCTGCATTGTCGTTAGTGCGTTTAAATAGCGAATATTTAATGTAAACAGTTATCTTCAGGGACTGTTAACAATTAAGTTATTTATATTTTGTCACTATCCTTGAACGGCATTTAGAAAGCTACGTACGCCCCTAGCCTCAGTAATGTAACTTGAATATAACTTTACCATGTAAGATATTTTGTGTAAGAGGAAAACAAAATATAAAACTTCGTTTTCATAGAATCGTGTCTTATATGTAACTTTTTTTTATTAAATTAGCAATGATACAAATGAAAAATTGCATCCTTCGAATTCGTCATTTAGACGACCATCGATCTCTCAAAATTTCAAAATATATGTGCTGAACTTTACAATTTAATCCTTTAAATATTTATTTTTAGATCCTCTATGATGTTTTAATAAACAATGGAACTCGTTAATAAAAAATCATTTTCTTCATAGTGAAGATGACACAAAGCTAGTAAATCGGAAAAGAACTTTCCTTGTCCTTAAAGTCATAATCCATATAATACATGTAATATTAAATGATAATTTGAGTTTTGATTAAATAACTTGCAGACGGCATTTTCACCGAGAAAATGTTGGCTATACCTGATGGATTCTTGGTACCTACCGAAACAAACGGTGCTATCAAATTAATGGACATATCGAATGGTGGTCACAAAGGTCCGTATAAGTTAACGACTAAAGATTCTAGCGGAGACTGGTTCTATCACCGAGTACAGTGGCACGATATGGATGGAGACGGGGACCAAGATATAATTACATGTAGAGCGCGGGAACCTGTTATACCACTTTTGTTCGGTAAGCGTAATCCCTAGAGACCGGAGATCGGGATAAAGTGAAACACTTTCTCTATTTCAATATGACAATCTCGCTTTTTTTCATTCTATTACACAATATGATTTCTTTTCTTCAATTCCATTCTTAAGCAATATTACAAAACATTACAAAAGCTAGATAAGAATATAGTATCTAAAATATTAGTAGGTTCACGGGGGCAAATAATCATACACTAAGATGTCTTTTCATCTTTGGCCAGTTTCTTTCTAAGCCGTGAACTTTAAATTGTTTTCACCCGTATATTTATTTCTCTCAGGTAAAGAAGATGAACAACTGATTTGGCTTGAAAATCCGTCCGGAGATTATTCAACAACATGGAACGCTCACGTGCTTGCACATGGACCAGGCGTTTACTTCCGGTTCGCACAAATGAACACTCCTGAAGGCCCAAAAGAATCCATTTTTGCAGCTCAATTTTTCACCAGCAGTCTCTCTGTTTACTGGACAACACAGACGAATGGTCTTTACACAGACAGTAGTAAGGTATTGGTTTATATACATGCAGTAACAAGTTGAACGTATGAATATTAGTCAAGGTCCGCCTCTAATTGAAAAGATGTGTGATGTTTTCTTCTTATAATACAACACTGATTGGTTCAGTTGGTATTTTTCTATACAACTCCTTACAAAAATTATTATTTTTAAAGATCAAATCACCTAGATCTACAGAATTTTAACAAATTTTCAATAGGTGAACACAATAAAATGAACGGACGTGGATACTTACTGCCATTATTTTTAGATTCAGAGCCGTGTGATAGACGACGCTATCGGTAAAGTATTTGAGGTTGACATCGCAGACTTGAACAATGACGGTAGAATGGATCTTCTTGTAACCACTAATAGTGGTCGTAATGGAACACTACTTGCATACGAAATACCTGATGATTTCAGGTGTGTACTATTCATTAAAAGAATGTCGATTTTTGCACGAGAGATATCATATGTCGGTTCAGCGTTCAGCAGAACATTGATGGAAACTATTAAGAATGTTTGCGGGAAACCTGAACTAATGCACGTTAAAATTATAGGAAGTCGCCATGTAACATTGTAATAGACTGTGTGACGCCGAATCCAATTAAGTGATATAGGACAAAAAGTGAACGTTTCAAATTATCATTATATTAAATTTAAGACTATATATTTAGTATATACTACAAATTTTAACTTTTTTTTTTTTTTGAAATTAAAGGCCCTAATTTAAAAAGTTCGGGCCATATTTCAAATGCTTTTTTTTTAGAACTGAAATTATAAGAACCAAAGTTTAAAGCCATTTGAAAGGTAAAGGGGCCACGGGTGCCTTAAAAGAACTGGAAAAGTCCCCCCAATAAGAAAAAATTTAAATTAATTTGAAAAAAATTTAAATTTGGTTATGGTGTTTAAAATTGTGATTATTTTTTGTAGAAAACGAAATTAATAAATAAAAAATAAATTTTTAAAAAAATTAAAAAACCCGTAAGGTTGCTTTTCGGTTTTAAATTAGTATAATAGTTTTTTATGTTGCAATGTATTTTTTTAAAAAAAATTTAACCCCTTGGGGAATGATAACAAAAAATTTTTAGGGGGGTTTAAAATTTTTGGGGGGGCTTTTAAAACCCCCGGTGGGGGGCCTTTTTCCCCTTTTGTTTTTTTACGAAAATTTAATTTTTTGTTAATTTTTTTTTAATTTCCCGTTTTTTTTTTAAATTTTTTTTAACCTTTTAAAAAATTTTTTTATTGGGGGAGTTAGGGAACCACAGTTTTGAAGCTATAAAAAGGATTATTAAAAAAAAAACTTTTTATGGTTTTAAAAGCAACTTGGGTAAACGTTACAAAAGGGTAATTATATTATTTAAAATACCCACTTTCCCCTCCTTAAAATTTTATAAAAATGTCAAGTAAAAACAAAAAATTTAAAATTATTTTCTTTTTATTTTTGTGTTCAAGAAAAAAAAAAGAAAATGACGCATTTTTTAATGAATGAAATTTTTCTGGCTTTGAGGTCATGTTAAGGCTTTAAATAGAACCCGGAAAAACATTAATTTTAAAGTTTTTAAAAATTCCTGTTAAAATTAAAATGACAATTTTTTTAAAAAAATATAAAAAATAATTATATTAAAAAAAAATTTTAAAATATATATATATAATAATATATAAAAAATGAAAAATTTAATTTTTAAAAAATAAAAAATTGGAAATGGTTTTCTTTGGGTGACATACATTGAAAAATAAGACAAAAAGCTAAAATTTGCCCCCCGAAAAATTTTTCTGAAAAAATTAGTATTTTTTTGGTTAAAAGGGTTGTTTCACAAAAAATAAAGGCTGTACCTTCTTCCTTTAAAAAAAAATCCTAGGTTAAAATTTAACTTTGAAAATTTTTACTTTTTTAAATTTTTTAAAATAAAAAAAAAATTATATATATATATTATTAAAATTTTTTTAATAAAATAATAAAATTTAAAAATTGGGGGCATTCTTTTTAAAGGGAAATGAAAAAAATATTTAGGTTGATTTGTTGATTGGCTTAAATTTTTCCCCACTGAAAATGCAGCTGATTCAAATATTTTGAATTTTTTTTTTTTAAAGGTTTTGTTAAACGTAATTTAAATTTCAACTTAATCTTTTTTAAAACAAAACCAAAAAACCGGATAAAATTGGGGAAATCTAAATCGAGTAAAAATTTTTGTTAAAAATTAATTTGTATATAAACAGTTTCCCGGATAAAAACTTAAAAACTGGTTGTTTAAAACATAAAAATATATTTTTTGCAAAAAAGGTTTTTTTTGGAGAACCAAAAACAAATAAAATTTTAAAATTTTAGGGGGGTTTTTTGCCCCTTGCCCCCGATATTTTGGAATCAAACTTTTGTTTTTCAGGCGCCTTTTTTTGAAGAACATCTGCTAATCTACCTTGTGGCGTTTGGTGAAACTTCACAGGAATGATATTGTGAATGAAGCATCAACTTTTAGTCTTCTACAAAAGTTTACATAGACTTGTATAGTAAACATTTGTTACAAATCTCTGAAAGTACAATGCCCAGAGCTTAGATATTTGGCATGTATTATCATCTTATGATCCTCTTCAAAAGGTATAAAAGTCGTATCCCTGGGGGTCAAAATTGGCCCTGCACCGATGGTCTGTTAAGATAAATCTAATTTATGTCAATCGTGACTCCAGAAGAAAATACTAGTAATCGGTCTTGTCTGTACTTAAGAATATAAGTTTCAGCTATTCTATAATTATAAGAAACGTGTTGCCGGGTTACGGTGTCACGTTTTACACTGAACCACTAGAGCTAAAAGCGTGCCATACTGGCCTTGTAGAGTTTAAAATCCTTCCCTTATCTTGATAATGTAAGATCCCCATGCGAATACACGTGTGATTTTTCATCACCTATTTAACTTATTCTGAACTTGTCTCACAATATAAGTGGCATTCGCTTTGGTTCTTGCAATGAACGTATAACATCGTTTGGATGATTATTTAGTGATCAAATGACCATGTTGAAATTATTAGTTTTAGTATGTGTTCTATTAAATTTGGTCTACTGCAGCTCTGTTTTAAGAAGAGTTGGAAGTTTTGATATTAAGCATCCGGCATTTACGACGCTCTATAAAAATTCGGATGTTTCAAATCCAGCTGAAACGTACAACCTGATTATTTCGACATTTTCCGGACCCAGTTTGTTCGGCGGCGGAGACACCGTGCAGCTTGTCCGCAGGGTTGGATCGTTTATGAATAATGTCGACGGCATTGTGCCGGAAATGCTGACCAGTCATGTAACATGGCCAAACGAAATTTCCGCCGTACCCGGTTTGTATTACTCCATGTTTTCTCATTTTAAGTGCACTTTATCTTAAATTGATTTCTATACATGAACGGCACCCTCGGGTATAGGTTGGTTTAAATTTGTATGTATGCCAAATTTCTCGAGGGTTTTGTTGTAAGCGGGCATTTCCTACATTTTGTTTGCTTTGTATTTCGTTAGTGCGTTTTTTAAATTAGGCGGAAATTCAATCTACATGTAAAACAGTTATTAACAATTAAAATGATTTATATTTTTGTCACATCCTTGAACCTTTACGTACGCCCTTAGCCTTCCAGTAATAGAATGCTTGAATATAACTATACCATGTAAGTATTTTGGTAAGGGAAAAAAAAAATATAAAACTTCGTTTTCATAGAATCGTGTCTTATATGTAACTTTTTTTTATTAAATTTGCAATGATACAAAAATGAAAAATTGATCCTTTCGAATTCGTCATTTAGACGACTATTTTCAAAAATATATTGCTGAACTTTACAATTTTTCCTTTAAAATCAATGACGTGTGTTTTAAATATCTTATGTTTAATTTTAATAAAAATAATTTTTAATTTAAAAAATTAAAACCCTAGTAAATCAAAAGAAAATCCGGGAAAAAACCTTTCCTTAAAATTTTTCATAAATAATTAATTTTAAAAAAATAATTGATTTTAAAAAAATTGCAACGGATTTTCACCCAAAAAGTTGGTATATAAAGGATTCTTTTGGTTTTCAAAAAGGTCATAAAAAAAAGGGTAACAATGGTTCCAAAGGCGTATAAGTTTAACGGGAAAAAATTTAAACGGAGACGGTTTTAACCGGGCATCACTTGGTGGAACGGGGGCCCTAAAACGGAGGCGGGAAGAAAACCCCTTTTTAAAGAAAAACCGGGGGGGCCATTCTTTACAAATGAAATCTTTTTTTTTTTTATTTTTTAAAAATACCCCCTTTTTTTTTATTTTTAAAAATTTTATTACCAAAAAAATTTAAAAAAAGCTTTTAAAAATTTTTTTTTTAAAAAAATTTTTTGGGTTCACGGGGAAAAATTAAAAGATGCCCCTTTTTATTTTTTTAACCCTGAATTTAAATTTTTACCGTAATTTTTTCCCAGGAAAGGTAAAAACCGTTTGGCCTTTAAAACTCCGAGGAAAAAAACATAAAGCTCAATTTTCACAAAAAGGCTTTTCTTCGGCCAAAAAAAGAAAACTTTCCGAAGGAAAAAAAATATTTTTTAGCCCAATTTTTTTAAGAAATTTCTCGTTTTTTTGGGAAAAAAAAGAATTCTTTACAAACAATAAAGGGATTGGTTTTATACAAAACTTTAAAATTAAATTAAGAATAATCAAAATCCCACGATTTAAAATTTTTATTTTTTCCTTAAATAAAAAACCGATGGGGTACTTACGTTTTAAATTTTTTTCAAAATTTTTATAGGGAACAAAAAAAATGAAGGGTGGGTTTTTGCCAAAATTTTTACAGACCGGGATAGAGACCTTTTGGAATATTTGGGTTGAATGCAAAATTGAACAAAATAAAAGGGTTTCTTTTTACATAAAAAGGGGGAAAGGAAAAATTTTCACCCAAAAATTTTTGTTAGGGTTTACACATTAAAAGGAATTAAAATTTTCCGAAATACTATGCGTTTTTAGAATGGTGAAATTTAAGAATGTTTGCGGGGGCCAATAATGATTAAAAAAAAGTGCCTTAAATTAATTTTAATTTTAGCCATTCCCAAATTTGAATTTAAAAAAATTTTAAAATTTTTAAAACCCTTAAAATTTAAAATTTTTTAAAAAATTTTTAATTTAAATTAATTATTAAAAAATTTAAAAAAACTTTAAAAGTTCGGGCCTTTTAAAAAAAATGCTTTTTATTTTAAAACTTAAATTTTAAAAAATAAGGGGTTTAAACCCCCATTTGGGAAGGTTTAAAAGGGCCCAGGAAATGCCTTTTCCAACCAAAATGGTTTCCGTAGTTAAAAAATTCAAACCCCAAAATAGAATTAAATTATATGGGGAAAATAATTTTTTTAAAAAACTTTTATTAAAGAAAACATTTTAAAACAAAAAAAATTTGTAAGGTGTTTAAATAATTTTAAATTATGTAAAAGTTTTTTCTTTATGAAGGGGTTTTTTATTATTTTTTACCTTAGATGATTTTTTTTAAATTTTTTTTTTTAAATTTTGGTTTTTCGAGGAGGGCCTTTTTTGAATTTTTTTTTTTGATTAGGGTTTTAAAACTTTTTAGCGTTAAACCTGATTTTTTTGCGGGGGGTGACAGGGGGGT